GTTCACTCCCCAGATGGCTGCAATGGCTGGGGTTGGACCAAGCCAAAGCCAGGAGCCTGGAGCTTCATCTGGGTCTCCCACGTAGACCGAAGCACTTGGACCATCTTCCACTGCTTTCCCAGACCATTAGCAGGGAGATGAGTTGGAAGTGGAACAGCTGGGACATGAACTGGTATCCATAAGGGGTGCCAGTACTGTAGGCCATGGCTTTACCTGCTGTGCCACAATGCCAGCCCTGATGTATTTAGTTATAAAATGCATTGGTAACCAGCCCATAGGTATTTACCTTTACACATAGCATTCATTATATCATAGGTACTTACAAATTATGTGTCTAGCTTTGTTAATATATATTTTAGAGCATGTAAAACATACAGTTTTTAAACATGGTGCCTTGGCTCTGGGTGCTGTAGCAAAGCATGGTAAACTGTAGGGTGCCACAACAAACCTTTATTTCCCACAGTTCTGGAGGCTGGAAGCTGGGACCAGGGTGCTGGCAGGTCCAGTGTCTGGCCCAGGCCCGCTTCCTGGTTTGCAGATGGACATTTCCTTGTTATAGTCTCACATGGCAGAAAAAGAGAAAGAGCAGCCGGTGCTGTGGCGTAGTGGGTAAAGCCACTGCCTGTGATGCTGACATCCCCTATGGGCACTGGTTAGGATCCCAGATGCTCCTCTTCCAATCCAGCTCCCTACTAATGGCCTGGGAAAGCAGTGGAAGACGGCCCAAGTCTATGGACCTCTGAGCCCACATGAGAGACTTGGAAGAAGCTCCTGGCTCCTGGCTTTGGCCTGGCCTAGTCCAGGCTGTTGCAGCCATTCAGGGAGTGAATCAGTGTGTGGAAGACCTTTCTCTCTCTCTCTAAATCTGCCTTTCAAATAAATAAAAAATATTTTAATAATACAGAAAATGGAGAAAGAGAGTGAGTGACCTCTCCTGTCTGCTCTGCCAAGGCCACTGATCCCACCCATGAGGGCTCCACCCTGGTGACCTAATCACCTCCCAAAGGCCCTACTTCCTAAAACCGTCATCCTGGGGAGGGGGCACACACATTCACTCCATAGGAAATGGAATCAGTAGGAGTGAATTCTGACATTTCCCTCACACTCCCCACGGGGACACACCCCTATGCATAAGCCCCATGTAGGAGACCAGCCTGAAAAATGGTTTGGAGTGGAGAAAACTGAAACTGAGCTGTGTTTATTTGTTTATTTGAAAGAGTTGCAGATGCATACATACATACATGGTGGGGGGAGAGGGAGAGAGGAAGAGAGAGAGAGAGAGAGAGAGAGATGTCTTCCATCTGCTGGTTCACTCCCCAAATGGCTATAATGGGCAGGGCAGGGCCAGGATGAATTCTGGAGCCAGGAGCCTCCTTCGGGTCTCTGACATGGGTGCAGGGGCCCAAGGGCTTGGGCCATCCTCCACTGTCCTCCCAGGCCATAGCAGAGAACTGGATAGGAAGTGGAGCAGCTGGGACTTGAACTGGTGCCCACATGGGATGCCATCACTGCAGGTGGTGGCTTTACCTGCTACACCACAGTGCTGGCCCCTGATAAATTATTATAAAAGGAATTGTAAATAGTTACAAAGGAATCCATATGCATATATGTTAACTATCTGATGAATGAGTGAACTTGAGTGATGTGAGGTACTGTGACTTTGCAGAGGTGTGGTTTTCGTGCCTGGTGTGGTTTCCCTCCCTGTAATAGTGATGGGCGGAGTCACTGCAGGAACCCAGGCCTCACCGCTCTTCCCACTCTCTTGGGTAGAGGACCTGTTTCCCTTCGGAACAACAGACAAGGTGAACCCACAGCTCTGTGCTTCCTGCAGAAGCAGCTTCTTACGTGACTCAGAACTGCTGAGGTAAAAGGCTTCATGTCGACCTCCCCGAGGCTGCTGTCTGAGGACAGGAGAGCAGAAGCGCAGCTTGTGTTCCTGGAAGCGCTTCAGTTCAAAGTTCCTCTAGATGTCAGTATTACACAGGGAAATGAAAACACAGCAGCCTGGGGCATGAATAAAGTCCTTCTTACTATATTTAACTGGTAAAACATACGTGCTGCATAGTGGCCTAAGAAAGAGCTGCCTCATTCAGCATCTGGTTTCCTCTTTGGTTGGTCAGGGCAGGCCCTGCCTGAACAATGCCGGTCCTGCTGTGGGTTCACCTGGCACTCAGTGGCCGCAGAGCAGGTGCTGTCTGATGGGCACCCCAGGCAGTCTTGCAGCCACATTCTCAAGCTTACCTAATTTGATGAGCTGAGATTGACCGATAGACATCAGTTGTCATAAAGTCCACATATGCTTCTGGGTGTAATGCCACACGGAATAAATCCAGAAGCACAATACACATCAATCCAGTAGAAGTTTTTGCTTCAAAACAGCAGTGCTGAAAACCAAAGCTACGAAATTGTGTCTTAAACACGATTTGTTTAACTGTTTTATTCTACTAATTTGGAAATATACTTTCAAAATTGAACTTGAGTTATCTTTCTCTTTTGTTCTGTCCCTATTCCATGTTAATTCTATTGTTTTATTTTATTTTATTTTATTTTTTTGACAGGCAGAGTGGACAGTGAGAGAGAGAGAGACAGAGAGAAAGGTCTTCCTTTGCCGTTGGTTCACCCTCCAATGGCACCACGCTGATCCGATGGCAGGAGCCAGGTGCTTCTCCTGGTCTCCCATGGGGTGCAGGGCCCAAGCACTTGGGCCATCCTCCACTGCACTCCCGGGCCACAGCAGAGAGCTGGCCTGGAAGAGGGGCAACCGGGACAGAATCCGGCGCCCTGACCGGGACTAGAAGCCGGTGTGCCGGCGCCGCAAGGCGGAAGATTAGCCTAGTGAGCCGCGGCGCCGGCCAATTCTATTGTTTTTAAAAAAGATTTATTTATTTATTTGAAGAGCAGTGTGTGTGTGTGTGTGTGTGTGTGTGTGTGTGAGAGAGAGAGAGAGAGAGATATCTTCCTTTCTCTGGTTCACTACCCAAATGCCTGCTACAGCTAGGGCTGGGCCAAGCTGAAGTCAGGAGCCAGGAACTTCATCTGGGTCTCCCATATGGCTGGCAGGGGCCCAAACAGTTGGACCATCACCTGCACACTATCAGGGAGCTGGGTTGGAAGAAGAGCAGCTGGGACATGGGATGCCAGCATTAAAAGTAGTGGTTTAAATTGCTGTGCTACGATGCTGGCCCTAACTCTAATCTTTTGACCAATAAATGTTTATCTCTTCATTCTGCTAATCTGTTACTCATTTTATGGTTTTTCTCTCAATTTTTTTTTACCTCCTGTGGTAAGAAAAAATCAAACAAAGTAGTAGATCTCAATAAATATTAACAATGTAACATGTCCCTAATCATTCTTTTTTTCCGAGTCAGTACAACGTAGAAATTAAGAGCACTGTCTGAAATGCACATCCGAGTTAGAACGATGGCTCTACGATTTCCAGACTTGGCAGCACTGGGAAATCATCCAACTTCATTTGTAAAATGGGACCAATAGTATCTATCCCAAATGGTTGTTATAAGGAGCAACCGAGTTAACAATACAAAGTGTGTAGAAGAACTGCTGTCACATAGCCCATGTTCAGTATATGCGAGCCATCATCATTGCTATCATCATCGTCACCAACCACACCATCATCATCACTGCCATCATCACCATCACCATCACCATCATCATCATCACTGGGTTAAGCCCGTAGAAGTCGAGGTCTTTTTGTCCATTGGAAGCACACAATCTAGCAGAAAATGACCAGGAAGAAAAAGTTCTGCAACATGCTGCAGGAGACACGAGGAGTAGGGGCACACGCTGAGCTGTGTGCAAGCTTAGAGGATGGAGCAACTGGTTTTGCTTCCCAAGCTGAAGGCCACTTTCCCTGCAGTGGAAAAGCAGGCACGGCCGTCTGCACGTTCCCTGGAGAGAGACCCTCTGAGGCTCTGATCCAGCCTTGGTTTCCACAGAGTTGCTAAGCCCCTGGGTTGCAGGTCCTCATCTGAAAAATGGAGAAATTCTGGGACTGGAAACCGCGCTTTGAGTCTGTGCGCCACCCTCACAGGGCGTTTGGGGTTGCGAGTCACCCTACGGCAAGTTGTGTTCCGTGTCAAAGTGAGGAAGGAGCCTGAATCATTGGGCATCCACACAATTTCATTCATTTATAAGGCATAACTTTAGAATTTGCGATGATTTGGGTGGATTGGGCTAATGTTTACCTTTTATATGGTATTTTAAAAGGGTTTGCTAAACTAACTCCGAGAATGCAGGATTATAAGAGGAATGTTTATCTACTCAGGAAAAGAGCCAACTGTTCTAAGCAATGTGAAAGTTCCACTTACAAAACTTGCTTTCATCTCTGACTTTCTGGTTTACAAAGCCTGTTCACGTATATCCTCTCATTTTTATTTGATTTATATGTGAGCCACATCAAGATAACTTAAACAGAGGTCAAGGGTGACATACACATGATCAATATCCTTTAATCTATTCACGAAGATGAGCTGCCTTCTACAAACAATGACAGAGTTTTACAGAATTTCTTTGAAAATAGTGAGTCCGTTTGCTTTCGGATCCCATTGTCTGCCTAGGAGCGCTGTAGTTCCTACTGCTCTGTCCTCTGCAGTACTGTTAGTTTTTGTGCTTTTCCCCCTTTGTTTGAAACCATATAATAGTTCTCAGCCTGGAGTAATTCTTTCCCAGGGCACATTTGGCAATTTCTGGTGATTTTTAAATTCGTATGATATTTGATTGACCAATTTTCAAATTGGAGGAACAGGTTTTGAGATCTGTTGTATAGCAGGGTAAACAGGGTCAACATTAATATAGAATAACTGAGAGTAAACTTCAAATGTACGGAGCCGCCTATGTTATTGCAAGTGAGAGAGAAGGTACGACTGGTATGTGTGACAGTGGCCAAGGGTCCTGCTCTCCATCCTATGATGCTCACGGTGTCAGTTGTGCCGAGGTTGAGAACCCTGATGTGTGAGTAACCTCAGTCCCTTGTGCCTCCACAGGCTAAGGAGGAGGCGTGGTCAGACCGTGATCTGGGGGAGAGGCCACCTGCCAGCTGTGAGAGACCAGCAGCCCTCCCAGGTAACATCTCGGGAAGACTAGAGAACCGTGGACAGGAGAGCTCTGCACAGAGGCCTTCCTGTTCAGAGAAACTCACAGGGCCCTAGAGCCTTGTAGGGGGAGTGCGGTTTTCTGAATACCTCTATTTGAATGGCTTTGGGTCTTACCAGCTACAAACAAGAAAATCTCTTGAAACTCAATTGCCAGTCAGTTGGTCCTATTTCCTTCTACTTTGCTTTTCAAAGCTTCTGTCTGCCGATAGAAGGAAACCTGAATAAAAATACCGTTATAGGAAGCCTGGCGTATATCTGGTCATATCAAATCCCCATTAAAATGTTTTGTGTCCTATGGTGGCTTCTAGAAAGATCTACCCAGAAGAAGCAGCTTTCTTCTGAAAAAGAAGAGGTTCATAAACTCAACGTAGAAAACACCCAGAAGACCAACACCTCTCTCACGCAGAGAAGTTTTACCATGTACCACTCAGAAAGCACAGATGGTGGAGAAGACTTCGCTCCACGGACTCACACAGGGACAAGAGCGAATATGGATGAAAAAGACTCTTCCGGCAGCCTGAACGGACAGGAGAATAGTGGAGCTGGAGACCACATGCAAGTTGCCATGGATCAAAATGGATGTCCAGTGTTCAAAGGAGAGAAAACTGGATTTCAGGAAGACACTGGTGAAAGAGAAGCAGAGGAGACAGGAGAATCAACAACTGCACATGAAACAGTGCCAGACCAGTGCTTTAGCAAAGAGCAAAACGCTGATAAAACTAACGGGGATCAATCCCGCGGAAGGTAGGGTCCCAGCAGTGCCCGCCCAGGGCTGACGCCTTTGCAGATAGTTTTGCATCTCCCCATAAATGGAGGGAATACTCTTTTTTTTTTTTTTTTTTTGACAGGCAGAGTGGACAGTGAGAGAGAGAGACAGAGAGAAAGGTCTTCCTTTGCCGTTGGTTCACCCTCCAATGGCCGCTGCGGCCGGCGCACCACGCTAATCTGAAGCCAGGAGCCAGGTGCTTCTGGTCTCCCATGCAGGTGCAGGGCCCAAGCACTTGGGCCATCCTCCACTGCACTCCCGGGCCACAGCAGAGAGCTGGACTGGAAGAGGGGCAACCGGGACAGAATCTGGTGCCCCGTCCAGGACTAGAACCCGGGGTGCCGGCTCTGCAGGCGGAGGATTAGCCTAGTGAGCCGCGACGCCGGCGGGAGTACTCTTAAAGCAAAGCTTCAGAACCCAGTCTCTCAGCTTATGTGGATTTTTCAGTGACATTTTCTCCCTATTATTTTTTTTCTGTGTCGCTGTGATATTTTTAGTCATTTTATTGTTTTTTCTAAGTCTTCTCCTGGCTGGTAGACAAAGGCAGCAATGGTTAGTGTTCACAGGAATCAGCGTTTTCAGGACTCGGTAGGGGTGGGTGTTGCGATGCCCACAGCCTGTATCGGAGTGCCTCAGGTGCAGTCTGCCTCTGCCCTGGTCCAGCTGTTTGTTAATGTGCACCTGGGAGGCAACAGATGATGTAGCTTGGTCCCTGTTATCCATGTGGGAGAACTGCATGGAGTTCCTGGGCCCCGACTCTTGGCTTTGGCTAGGCCCACCCAGCTGTAGCAGGCGTTTAGGGGTGAGCCGGCAGATTGAAGAGATCTGTATCTGTCACCTGCCTTTCAAATAAACAGACAAATCTTTTTTTAAAGATGATATAAGATATATTTTTAGCAATATAGAACACATCATTCTTAAGGTCAAGAATTAAGTAGTGATTAAATTTACCTATTAAAACCTAAATCTTAAAGTTTACCTACCCCATTATAAATGGTAAAGTGGCTATATTCTCCCAAATATCTGTGATAACTGAATAAGAAATAGCTTATAGAAAGACTCTCTCCTCAACTGCAAGGTTTCACACGAAATTCAGGTGATTTTATAGTCAGTTAAAATGCGTTACTCTAGGGTATTACATGCTATAGTATCTACTCATATTCAGAACACACAATATCCAAATACCTGTGTGGCCTTTTTTTTTGTAAGTCAAGACGTAGTTCTTATTAAATAGCATCTTTGAAACCCATTCTTGGGGAAATCTAATTTTCCAAGAACTAAATATAAACACCAGCGATGATTAAGAAAGTCCCTTGCTGTAAAGAGGTGCTTAGTAAGGGCAGGAGCTGTCCAAAAACAGAATCTAGGTAGATCTCCCACCAATAAAGGTTTACTCTCACTGCTGTTAACATTCAGAGAGACTACTGCTTCTTTTACTATGCTGTACTTTAAATAAGTGTAAGAGAAGAAGATCAGATCAGGCATTGCTGAATGGCCGCGTTGGGACAGGCCATTGGAAGACTGTGGGGTCACCAGGAGGGCACTGGGGAGAAGCCTTGGGATCCTGGTGACTCTGCCCCTCTAGAGGGGAGCACACTGCTCTTCTCTGGCCCCACATGCCAGAAGGTCAACTCCCTCCAGAGTCTACATCCTCTTCCCTGAGCCGTCATTGTGGGGAAGCTTTGATGCTGAGGATTCTGAAAGTTTTCACTTTGAAACCTTGAGAGCTGCAACTGGGTTTTATTTTCCAGGTGTATCAGCAGCACAAAGCCCATTGCCACATCACCAGTCCTGGGAAATCCAGCAACAGAACTCGCTGTCCAGAATGCGGACCAAAGCGAGTCCACCGGCTGCAGCAAGCGTAGAGTGACGGAGGAGGAGGAGTCCTTTGTCAACGAGGACAGCAAAAAGAGCAGAATAGATGTAGGGGGTGCAGGGGAAGAGCGAGCCTTGGAAAGGCCCCAGGAAGCCCTGCGAGCCCAGGCACGCTTACAGGGCAAGCCCCAGGAGGCCACCGGAACGAAGACCTCCAGGGAGCCAGACCCGGGAAGCCCACTGGGTAGGACATGGCTTTTGTTGCAGACTTTTCAAGCTTCCTAACCTTCTCACGCGAGCACTCCAGCCAAGCCTCACGCGGTATAGCGGTCTCAGGGATCCGCGATGCTATCCTGGATCACTGTGTCTCTAACTCATTACTTTCTTTTGTAAATCTGAAGCAATGAATGCCACCAAGAGAATTGTCTCATGATTTTATTTTCCAGCATACTTACGATGTGAGAGGTGAATGCCCCTGTCAAGTCCAGTTCCCAAAGAGTTATGTTATCTAAAGTTTCAAAGAATGTTGACATTTGGCAGTATCTAGAACAAGATAACTGCTCAAGAAACATATTGTGAAAAACATAAATCATTGAAAGCAAAGCTGTTGTCTGTGCCCTCAGTATCATTATTGTATGTGTGCACTGGCTACTTAATAAATGAATACATGGAGAATGAGCAGGTTTGTGGCCAGCAACTGTAACAGCAGTAGTCATGGAGAAGTAAAAGGAATATGGGGAGACATATTATTGAGTAATTATGTAAGTTAGAACTGAAGCCGACATGGACTAGAGCTTAAACATGTAAGAAGGAGGTGCAACGTGGGAGAAATTTGAAAGCTGTAGAATACACACTTACCTAGTTTTATTGGGTGTTTTATTTCTAGCCAGCCAGGAAAAAGTCATCTTTGTGCCTTACATGTGTCTTAAATAAAGCCCACAACATTTTGGAAGGTAATTCATAATGTCAAAGATTTCAGTGACGTGAAGAAATGTTTCATTTTTCCTTTCTTTTCTCTTCATTTTGATTAAAATAATGGACTGTGGAGATTTTTTTTTAAAGAAATTGATCAAACAATTTCCTGTATTTGAATGAAAATGGGCCCAGGCTTGCAGGTAGCATCTGTTTGGACTCAGAGCTGGAGATTTTTGACTGTTTGGAGCTTTCTTGGGCCCGAAGACGGTGAGAGCAGTGGTTGCGGGGTCCTGACCGTCTTCCTCAAAGACGGCGGGGGTCGCCTTCAGAGTCACCGATCATGACAAGAAGTGAAGTGAATCCCGGATGCTTAGGTGTGACACAGATGGCCTGTAATATTTTATTAAGGGACAGATCTCCATCAGGATGCCGATGCTTGATGCCGTAAAGAGGTTGGGTGCCTGACAAATGATCCTTCTTTTCCTCTTACCTTCAAGATGACATCCTGGCTCCTGCTGCCCCGTTCGATCATCGCATTGTGACAGCCAAGCAGGCGGCCGTCAACAGTTTCTATACTGTGAGCAAGACAGAGGTTTTAGGAGGGTAAGTAACGCGCGGTTTGAACAGTTTTTCAGTGAAAACAGAGAGCCTCCTGCGAGTCTGAGGAGCCCCTCCACCCTGGCCGGCCTCCGCCCGAGCGCTGGAAACCTCCCAAACACACACGGGAGGAGCTCCGGCCATTTCTGCAGATCATCTCTGCTGTGGGAGACTGCTGTGAGGACCCCGGAGGGGCTGTGCCAGTTATCTGCCTGACCTCCCGTGTTCTGTGTCTGAGCGTCAGCACATCCCAGTGTGAGTCGCTGAGGGTCTGGAGGCTGTCCAAAGCCGTGGCTTAAACCTTGTGAGACAAGATGGAGAAATGAGTCCAGACCGTGTATTTCCTGTGGCAGGTGTCAAACCTGTCGGTCATTATGGCTGGTTTTCCAGTTCTGTTGTTTCTGTATTAATTATTATCACCTGTTTCAGTTGATTACTTTCTGTACTGAAAGGTTTATTTGAGGGACACCTACATGCACCCCTTCTCCCTAGAGAAGGAAGGTGTGGGTGCACCAGGGACTGCATTCACAGTGGGGATGTTCGTTCCTCTTTGGCTTCATTCAAAATCCACCTATAATTCTTCTAACTCAAGGCCTAAATGATAAAGTTTACTACCATCAGCAGGTTAGTGCAACTCTGAAGAGGAAGTCAGAAAGTTTACACACACACACACACACACACACACACGTATACATGCAAATGTTGTATCAATGCATGGAAACTATACGTGGTGCAGGTGTCTGCGATTGGTCATCAAGAAGTAGTTGATACTGGTGAAGTCTGCTCTTCCCCCTCCCGTTGCAGATTTCTTTGCTCTCTGCCACATGGAGCCACCTGACTTCTTTTTCTCAGCTGGTTAATCATAGAAAAAAAAACCCTCAAGAGCCCATGGGGATAAGCTGAGGGAGAAATGAGAATTACAAAATGTGAACTGGTGCCACGGAAGTCTGAAGTACTCGGATCTTCAGGGACTCCAGTGGCAAGCCAGTAGCTATTTCGTTAAAGGAGGATAGTTATTTGCAGAAAAAAAACTGAAATGATTCCAAGGGTTTGTGCTGCTTTTCCAGTAAGGGTTGTCACCGGCTCCCTTCTGCCTCTTTGGGCATGGTGGCCCTGCACCAGTTGCTGGTCATCACTTGCTCTGGGCTCCACTGCACATCAGCAGCTGCAGTTCACTCGCAAGTAAGTTAGACGAGTACAGGTGAATGCATTGCTTCAAAATGCAGAGAGATCACCCACAGTTGTACTTCTTTCTGCTAAAATAAAGTTATGTGAGAAGCACAGAGACAGAGTTTCCATCTGATGGTTCACCCCCCAGACGCCCACAATGGCTGGGGTTGGACCAGGCAAAAGCCAAGAGCCAAGAACTCAGTCCAGATCACCCAACTACCTGAGCCATTATCTGTTGCTTCCCAGGATGTGCACTGGCAGGAAGCTGGAACTGGGAGCAGGAACTGTGAATAGAACCCAGGCGCTTCAATGAGGGACGTGGGCATCTCAGCTGGGGCCTTTGTCATTAGACCAAATGCCCGCCCTGTACCTCCTTTTCAGTACAAGGAGTTTCAAGATCAGCAGCTAGACTTGCATCCTTGGCAGAGACATTCCAATATGCTAGGGATCACTGGACACCAGGAATGTTCTGGGATCATGTCTTAACCTTGTAGACTGCGGGGCATTTATAACTTCTCTGATATCCATGTTCCACTAGCATGAGGCTATCGGTCTGCTGGACCAGCATGATTTCTGTGAGGTAGCCGCAACATTTAAGACCCAGCAAAGCCCTGGATCAGGCAGTAATGGGCACCACCGCTGGGCCAGGCAGTTCCAGGGACGCTGGCATGTGAAGGCACAAAAGCATTTCTTGATCTGTGCTGTGCTGGCGTGCTCCAGTAGAAACTGCAGCTGGAGCCGTGGTTGGAATTGAAGGCACTGCTCGGGGTGTTTACAGTAATCTGACGTCATTACCCAAGAGCCACCTGCCTCTGTGCTGTGCGGGATGTGATAGCTGTGGCGGCCCCTGCCTCGGTCCCGTGTTGCTGTGACCCTTGTCTCTGGTGGTGTGGCCTCCCTTGAGTCCCCTGTACTGCTTGGGAGGCTCCCCTTTCTCTGGCTGCCATGACAGCCCCCATCACACACAGCAGGGACATGTGGTCTATTTCACATTCCTAAATAAGGAATCAGAGTGAGCAAATCAAATTTCAAAATTGCTCATGAGTGTGTATTTCTGAATGTGATTGTGTAGGTATAAACCTGACTTACAAAGTACTTATATGTTTGTACTCCAGAGTACTTCAAAAGGGTCTTGGAAAAATAGTCTATTTTGGTCCAAAAATTTTTTAAATTTTTGCATAGTTTTTAGACACATTTCCATGAACTTCTGGAAGATCCCTTGTACCTAAGCTAAACTATCAAAAACCCATAGGTAACTATGTAAAATGTATTCTTATTAAATGTATCTATATGCAATATTATTATTTCTTATTTATATGCATTTTTCCAAAAAGAATTTGGTGGGCCGGGTCCACAGAAGGCTTTGTTCACATGCTTATAAAGCCCTGCTTACCACATTCTCATGTACATATTTAGAAAGATTCTGTGTTATCTCTAATGGTGATTCTCAAATTTTAGGGTATAGAATCACCTGGGGAATGGGCTAAACACGCAGCTTCTCTGGTCTCACCCTGGGCTCCTGCCGCCGTAGGTCTGAGGTGGGTCCCAGGAGCCTGTGTTCTTAGCAACCGCCCAGGTATTTCTGATGCCAGTGATACACAGACCACACCTGGACAAATCCTGTTTTACAGTTGATTGGGTCCAGTGGTTGAGTTCACCACTTTGCACACTCAGCACAGAGAACCATGCATCACCCACTGCCAGTGACTGACGCGGTGCCTCCCTTTCTTGGCAGGGGGCGCTTTGGCCAGGTCCACAAGTGCGAAGAGAAAGCAACAGGTCTGAAGCTGGCCGCCAAAATCATTAAGACCAGAGGCGTGAAGGACAAGGTAAAGGTCACAGGAGGGGTGCTCCCCTCCCCCTTCCTGGCTCCGCCGCACTGAGGCCCCATGCCCTTCCGTGCAGGAGGAAGTGAAGAACGAGATCAGCGTCATGAACCAGCTGGACCACGTGAACCTCATTCAGCTCTACGATGCCTTCGAGTCCAAGAATGACATCGTCCTGGTCCTGGAGTAGTAGGTGTCCTTGACCCTCCCGCTCGTGCCCCCTGCCCCCAAGCTCATGGGAACCACACGATCACATCAGTTCCGGCGAGGAGCCTGCTTCTGCTTGTGCGGCTCCATCTGCAATTATTGACAGGAAGTTAACGGACAGAGTAGATCTAGCTTTGTATTGAAGCTACACTGTCAAAAACGAACTTGCATATTGTGTAACCCGGAGGGAAGCAATTTTTGCACTTTATTTTAAAAAGACTTATTATTTACTTATTTGAAAGGCAGACTGACAGAGAGAGAGAGAGAGAGAGAGTGAGAAAGATCTTGCATCCATCTGTTGGCTCACTCTCCAAATGGCTTCAGTAGCTGGGGCTGGGCTAGGCTGAAGCCAGGAGCCCAGAGCTCCACCCAGGTCTCCCACGGGGGTGTCAGGGGCCATCGTCTGCAGCTTTCTCAGGCAAATTAGTGGGTATCCAGATAGGAAGCAGAGCCCCCAGGACTTGAACTGATTCTCCAATATGGGATGCTGGTGGCTTAACTCACTGAGCCACAACACCAGTCCCCACTACTTCATATTTTAACTACATACTATAGCCTCCACCCTAGTGGGGAATAGTACTGAACCCCATGTATGCTGTTTTATCCTATACATTCATACCTGTGATAAAGATGAATTTATGAATTAGGCCCAGGAAGAGATTAACGATCACTAATAATAAAACAGAATGGTTGATACAATACACCATAGTAAAACTTCTGTGAATGTGGTCTCTCTGTGTGTCTCCCTCAGAATAGCTTATTGTGCTGTACTGACCACAGCCAACCTCAGGTCACTGAAAGAGTGGGAAGTGAACCAGTGGACAAGGGAAATTACTGTATTTGCTAATGATTGGAGCCGAGAAGCTTCCGTTTAAACTCGCCTTTATAAAAACGTAACCCCCGGTGAGTTAGCAAATGCCTAGTTCTAATGCTGAATCCATACCCTGACTCAGTTTGTATTGTTTTCTATTTTGGGCGCTGTTTACCACAGCCCAGTACGGCATCTTGGATAATAAAGTGGCTCGCCTTGCTGCCTAGAGGCAACTTTTCACTGAGGTGACAGGCCTGGGGTCTTCCTGGGCTGCGGGGTGAGTCACCTGCAGTCGGCATTTGGATTCCCGCTCCCCACGTTCTCAGAGTCCTCTTTGTCTTTGACACATGTTCAACAGTGGGGCACAGGGACTCACCCCAGAGCTGCAGCCACTGACAAAAGAGCCCTTGAGGTTTTTCTGTTTGCAAATGTGAAGGTAGACAAAATGACAAGTCTTGAACACAAGAACTGTGCACCCGCGGGAGCAAAGAGGGCAGAGAAGTAACTGCATATACATCTTTCTGCAGAGTTAGAGGAACTGGCACGCCAAGTGGCTATGAGGAAAGCTCATGGTGGTTAAGGGGGCAGAACTAAGGGTTTCCCTCTCTCCTCTGCAGCGTGGATGGCGGGGAACTGTTTGACCGCATCATTGATGAAAACTACAACCTGACGGAGCTGGACACCATCCTGTTTGTCAAGCAGATATGTGAGGGCATCAGGCACATGCATCAGATGTACATTCTGCACTTGGACCTGAAGGTACAGCAAGTCTTCAATGTCACGGACTCTGTAGCTTCTTGGGCCCTCACCCATGGGGATCCTGTGTCCCACCAGCTCAAGACATCTGTGGTGTCCCTGGCTATGTTTTCAGGAATGAATAACAACTGGGTTTCTTAACTTCATCTCCTCATTCTCAACTTTTCTCGCCCCCTTAGATTTGTATGTCTTGTCCTTAGAGGTTACTATTCGGATTCTTGTGATCAGCATGTGTTAAAGAGCTCAACCTGAGCCGGTGCCGTGGCTCACTAGGCTAATCCTCCGCCTGCGGCGCCGGCACACCGGGTTCTAGTCCTGGTCGGGGCTCTGGATTCTGTCCCAGCTGCCCCTCTTCCAGGCCAGCTCTCTGCTGTGGCCAGGGAGTGCAGTGAAGGATGGCCCAAGTGCTTGGGCCCTGCATCCCATGGGAGTCCAGGAGAAGCACCTGGCTCCTGTCATCGGATCAGCGTGGTGCGCCGGCCGCAGCGCGCCAGCTGTGGCGGTCATTGGAGGGTGAACCAACGGCAAAGGAAGACCTTTCTCTCTGTCTCTCTCTTTCACTGTCCACTCTGCCTGTCAAAAAAAAAAAACAAAAACAAAAACAAAAACAAAAACAAACAAACAAAAAAAAACAAACTCAACCTGGTGGAAGGTTTGCTTTAAAGTTTAGAATTAAAACCACCACCACCACCATGGTATCCTTCTCATGAGCAAGACAAATCATTGGGTGGATTTTAGCCAACTCAGGATTCCCTGGTGGTAGCCAACCTTTCTGGATCTCCAAGAATCCCCAAGGTCCTCCTGAAGTCTTTCAGGAAAGTCTGGACTTTGGGATCTGGTCTCTGTGGGCGTGGTGCAGCATGGAGCAGACGCCAGACGGGAGGGAATACAGAGCAGCTAGAGGGTGGGCGGGGCGGGAGTGCTGGGGAGCAGAGGGTGTGGGCAGGGGGTGCCATGCTGGAAATTTTGGACCGCACACGAGAGAAGCAAGTTGCCTTCCTTTCTTCTTGTGTTCATGGCTCTTGCTGTCCCCCTTTAAAGATCTATTTATTTATTTGAAAGGCCGAATTACTGGGGGCAAGGAGATTTTCCCACCTGCTGGTTTACTCCCCAGATGGTCCCAACAACTGGAGCTGGTTTGAGTTGAAGCCAGGAGCCTGGAACTCTGTCAGGGTCGCCCAAGTAGATGCAGGGGCCCATCACTTGGTCATCTTCTGTGCTTTCCCAGGCATATTAGCAGGGAGCGCGATCAGAAGCAGAACAGCTGGTACTCTCATTATGAAGTTCTTAGTATTGGACTCCAGACAGTCCTAGATACAACCAAGAAAAAACCCAGGCCCCCAAGCCATGATCAAATCGAACACTGGGGCTAAGCAGTCTAAAGTATATCTTCTTGTGTGGCTCCATCATTTTCTCATTTCCCTGTCTGTAGAGCATGTCAGTGAGATAAAATATACCCTCCACATAATATACCAACTATTGCAAATCACCAGGGGTCGTGCAGCTAAATAAATTCAGCCTCCTTAAATAGGTTTCCATGGGCCTCTCTTCCTCCAGCTTTGCTCCTCTCACTGTCTTGATTTATGGGCACTGCTTTTCCCATCCACTGTGGAGCAAGAGACGAGTGGGGAAGTGGGATATAAAATGACCAAGTTGGAGGTTAAAAATCATTAGCAAAGCCCTTAGCTATGAACTGAGTTTGATAATGCCTATTTTCGTGGAATGTTTCCATTGAGTGTAGATATTCCACAGATATCCCTACAGGGATTTCATTGGCAGCTGGAGATGGGGAGCCGACCTATCCTAAGCCAGCTGACTCTGCCTGTGGCTTCATAATGTTGACTGAGAATTTGCAAAGGGTTATTTTAGCTAAGGCCTATATGTAAAGATAATGCTGAAGATGACGGCTGGATGAGCCGGTAAGGACCCAGCTTTTCAGAAAGCTCCTTGGAAGGAAAAGGGCCAAAAATATTAAAAGTGCTTGTTCTTATGTGGGGGAAATTATAGGTGACTTAAAAAAGGTCTCTTTTATGTTTTTCTGTTTTGCAAACTTTATTCTTGGTTTTCGTAACCGTGAAACATGAACTTTGGGGAATGCCCTCAGAGGTGTTTCTTTGCATTCTGCAAACCAATTTTTGGATGTCATTGTGTTCTTGGACAACTAATGGCTTTGTGCATGATCGATCAGTTATTTAAGCATGAAACCAACTGTTCTTACATAGCACCCACTATGTCTGTATAAAATGACTTTTACTCCCCAACATCTGGTTTAGAGATATTTTAGAAAAAGTCTTCCAAAGACACTATACTCAATCAAATGGACTATTGAATATTGATTAAGGAGACACTATATCATTTCATAAACTGTGGCTGAGTTTCTCATCTGAACCTCTTCTCCAGAAAGGTGTGGGAGGCGGAAGCCAAGATCCTACCTAAAGATGAGGAAACGGAGCCTTGAACATTCAGTGACTTGGCTGATTCCCTGCCCCAGTTCTTAGGGAAGAGTGTTGGGACCAACATTGGAGAGTTCTTGGCTTTTCTTTGAAAGATTTATTTCTCTTTCATGGGTGACTTTGACTTTAAATCAAATCCCATATTCTTCCCAGGCCACAGTTTCTCTCTCCCACTGATGTAGGAACATGTGTAACACATTCTGTGAACACTGAACAGTGGTGCTACAGCCTCCTTTTCTCCCCCGTTCCGTCCCAAGAGTGGTTCACCAGCAAGGTGAAGTCTCACCCAAGTCGAACACCAAAGGGACACTTAGTCAAGGGTTTTGGGCATCAAGACGAGGCACAGCAGAACCCCGGAACTGCACGGACTGCAGAACGACCAGGAGAGGAAAATTTGCCTTTCATAGGAGGGCTTCCTCATAGACCGAGCACGAAGGGGACATCGAGAGGTCGAGAATGTTTGGGTTATATTGCATGCTCAGAGTGGTTGCTCAAATGAATCAGGCCCTTTCTCCTGGAACTCATAAATCTTTGGAAGAAGTCCTCTTCCAAAAAGGAGAAATTCATACTTAATAATTTTCTGGAGGCAGATGGCGAACTCTGAGTGGGGCCCTGCCAGTTCATCTGCAGTGTCCCAGAGCAGCCTCTTTTCTTCTTTCCCTCCAGAAGGCCTCTGCCTGAACTCAGGCATTATGGTAACTGCAAAACCCGTGGAGTGGGACAGGCAGGGTAATGCAAGGCTGGCAGGGTACCCACAACCTCATCCACCACATAATTAAAGGAGAAAATACCCACGCAGACAAGCCAGTCCCCAAGTGAGAGGCCTGATATGTTTTTCCTGAGTACCGTTGTATTTTTAGTTGTGGTTCAAGGACAATTTGACTGAAGGATGGTTGTTTTCATTGCTAATGTGTCTCTTTCTCCCGGCAGCCTGAGAATATCCTGTGTGTGAATCGGGATGCTAAGCAAATAAAAATTATTGATTTTGGATTGGCAAGAAGGTAAGTCTACTCGGGCATAGGTGTGTGAATGGAGTTATGGGAAGTGATAGATGCACTTTCTTAGCAAAGATAAATCTGATACACCCCTTGGGTTTCATGCCCTCATTCAGAAGTAATCTAGCAAAAATTGTGTCCAACCTTACCTCGCTGAATTTGAGATTGGAGTGCTTAGAGGTTTCTAGAACACATGCAACAGTGGGTTTACTATGCCAGGAGCCATTTGTTTCACATTTGGAAGAGTTGGTCTTTGCCTTTTCTATGTGCTTCATTTGTAAAGAGAAGACTTACTCAGAGAACAGTAATCGTGTAAACAATATGGAGAAGGGTCCTGGCCCACGTTGAGCCAGGAGCAAAGAGTTCAACAGGGACCCACGAACAAGTCAGCACATTGGACACAGGTGGAAAGGACGTGGTAGACTATGGGAGCATTTTGCTTATTCATTAATATTGACTTGTTGGCACCATCTGCATGTCAAGGACCCCATCAGCTTTGCTTTTGTCACGGACAGTTATTCAGACATTCTAAGTGTTCAGTGTGTCTCTGCCCACAATTCTTTCAGATTATTAAGGTTTCAGAGTATGAAGCGTGACTCTGAAAACCCCTGGGACTTCCGTACAAGCTGCGTGGAGTGCATCATTTCAGTGTTCACCAGTTCTGATTCTCAACCAACACTCTCCATTTCTCCACTGTGTCTCTTAAATTTCAGATACAAACCCAGGGAGAAGCTCAAGGTGAACTTTGGGACCCCAGAATTTCTCGCCCCCGAAGTCGTGAACTATGATTTTGTTTCCTTTCCCACGGACATGTGGAGTGTGGGGGTCATCGCCTACATGTTGTAAGCAGTTCTCTCTCTGACATTCGTTCACAATCTCCATGCCTATTCTAAGAGGCTTGGCTATGTAAAATCCCTAATTTAGATCTTTTAAGAATGAGCATCAGGGCTGGCATTGTGGCACAGCAGGTCAAACAGCCATCTCTGATACCCGCATGCCATATGGGCTCTGGTTCGTGACCCAGCTGCTCCACTTCCAATCCAGCTTCCTGTTAATGTACCTGAGAAAGCAGCAGATGACGGCCCAAGTGCTTGTGCTCATTCCACTCACATAGTCTCCTGTGTTGCTGGCTCCTGGCTTTAGACCCCCTCACCCCCTGCCCGCTATTGTGCCTTTCAAATAGATGAAATCTTTAGAAAAAATAAAAATAAGTGTCACTGTGCTGTGTTCAGCTGGTTTATAGGTTCTGTTGAATGCTGCGGATGAACACACTTCATCTGAGAAAGTAAATGGCTGTGCTTTTCACCAATCACTTGGACTCCCAGGAAACCACTAAAGCCCGGAAAGCAATTCTAAAAGACAAAAGCTCATGTTCTGATGGCCTCATCCTAAGGGGGGGCCTTCCTGGTGTTCCCCATCTGAGCTGGTGACAGCACTTGCCAGCTGTAAGACGCTGTATTTTTCAAGAAGATTTATTTATTTGAAAAGCAGAGCCTCTCTCACACACACAGACACACATGCACACAGGTATTCTATCCACTGGCTCACTCCCCAAAATGGTCACAACAGCCGGGGCTGGGCCAGGCTGAAGCTGAGAGCCTGCAACTCCATCCGGGCTTCCCAGGTGAGTGGCAGAGCCTGCCTGAGCCACACTCTGCAGCTTTCCCAGGCATATTAGCAAGAAGCTGGAGTGGGCGGAGCAGCGGGGACTCGATATGGGACGCCAGCGTTGCAGTGGTGTCTTAGCCGCTGCGCCCCATGCCCGGCCTCCTGAGAATGCTTTGCAGAGGAAGCTGTGCTGCCCTTTGGGATTCTGGTTTGAGGGCAGCTGCTGTCCTCATTGCTGTGGGTGCCTCCTAGGCACTGGGCATTGTCTCGATCAGGATAGCATAGAATTCTGCTTCATTATTGGACTACTTTCCTTCTCTCACTCTTAAATGACAGAACCAAAAACAGCCTGTCTATAAGGATCTGAGGCTTTTTTTTTTTTTTTTTTTTTTTTTTGACAGGCAGAGTGGACAGTGAGAGAGAGAGACAGAGAGAAAGGTCTTCCTTTGCCGTTGGTTCACCCTCCAATGGCTGCCGCGGCCGGCGCGCTGCGGCCGGCGCACCGCGCTGATCCGATGGCAGGAGCCAGGAGCCAGGTGCTTTTCCTGGTCTCCCATGGGGTGCAGGGCCCAAGCACCTGGGCCATCCTCCACTGCACTCCCTGGCCACAGCAGAGGGCTGGCCTGGAAGAGGGGCAACCGGGACAGAATCCGGCGCCCCGACCGGGACTAGAACCCGGTGTGCCGGCGCCGCTAGGCGGAGGATTAGCCTAGTGAGCCGCGGCGCCGGCCGGATCTGAGGCTTTTTTAAAAATTGCTGTCTCTGAATCCCATGTGCCGTAGGCTCAGCGGTCTGTCGCCTTTCCTGGGAGACAACGACGCGGAGACGCTGAACAACATCCTGGCCTGCAGGTGGGACCTGGAGGACGAGGAGTTCCAGGACGTCTCCGAGGAGGCGCGGGAGTTCATCTCCAAGCTTCTGATCAAGGAGAAGAGGTATCCACGTGGGTCCTGCACGCGAGGAGCAGGCCTCGCAGGGCTCAGTCCCTTGCTGACATGTACGATGTGTGCCTAGTAGAGCGTCGCAGAGATCTTGCTGACATCTGAGAGCTCAGACTGCTTCCGTGGGGCTCCAGCGGGGCTCCAGAAACGCCGTCCTGCCTTCCGTGACGAAGTCCTGGCAGTCACGGACCCCTGCGGAGCCTCTGTTGACTCAGCCTGAAAATGAAGGGTTTGGGCTAAGTTATTTCTACTACCCTCACACCTTCGCAAAGCACGCACATGGCTCCTTCAGCTGGACACTTAGCTAGCGTGTTATTTGCAAACCTACTCTGCGCCAGACCACACTAAGTGCTTTAGAGACAGCGTCTATTTTAACCACCACCCCCAGCTCCCAATTTCATGAGGTAGAAATGATGTTTATTACTGTCTTGCGGATGGGACTCTAAGTATTTTCCCACGAGCACATTGCCAGTAAATGGCACAATGGATACGCAAACCCTTGTCAGGCTTCCCTAAGGGCCACACACTAACTGTTATGTGTTACATGGCCTTTTATGTTCTCTCTCACCAAACCTGTACAATTCAAAATGCGCTGGATGAACAGTGGCATTGAAATAGGCGGGGGTTGCATTTTAGAATAATGGTGGGGGAAGGGCATGGTGATTACCTCGTCACTGCTTCCAGTGGCTTTATACCAAAACCATAAACAGTATTTGAGATTTTTCAGGGCTAGTATATGAGGTACATTTAAAAAATTTATCGAAAAAGAGAATTATGGAAAAAAGATATGCTGAATTTAAAAAACCTTTGTACCCAAATAAGATTCATTTCAGAGGCAGAGCTACAGAGAGAGGGAGAGACAGATAGTCTTCCATCTGCTGGCTTACTCCTAAATGCCCACAATGGCTGGAGCTGGGCTGTTCTGAAACCAGGAGCCAGGAGTTTCTACAGCATCTCCCCGGCAGGTGCAGGGGCCCAAGGACTTGATCATCTTCCACTGCTTCCCTGGGCCATCAGCAAGGAGCTGAATAGGAAATGGAACAGTCTGGACTTGGACTGGTGCCCGCATGGGACTCCAGTGCCACAGGCAGAGGCTTTATCACTACACCACAGCCCCGGCCCCAAGGTTTATCTTCTAATTTCACTTTTCCTTTTTTTAATATTTATTTTATTTGAAAGGCAGAGTTATATATATCGAGAGAGACAGAGAGAGAGAGAGAGACAGAAAGATCTTCCATCCACTGGTTCATTCCCCAGATGGCCATAAGATCAAGGCTGGGCCAGCCAAAGCCAGGAGCCAGGAGCTTCATCTAAGTCTCCCACATGGGTGCAGGGGCTTGAGTACTTGGGCCATCTTCCACTGCTTTCCCAGGTGCATTAGCAGAGAGCTGGATCAGAAGTGGAGGAGCTAGGGCTTGAACCGGTTTACACATGGGATTCTGGTGTTCTAGGCGATGGCTTAAACCACTGCACCACAATGCTGACCCCTTAATTTCATTCTCCCACACACTTTTCCAAGTTCCCTCATACAACACAAAAAAAAAAAAGAGCCAGAACTGAGTTTCTAAAAGGCAAAGAGGGCTTAGTCAGGCTAGGAGTGTCAGTCTGGGTGGTAGGGAGTGATTTGGAAGTAGTGGGTTTTCTTTGTCTTTCATAATGGGAAGACATGGTAACGGGTGAAGTGATTGTTACGAGTTGCACATGGCTCTGTCCCAGGCGGTGAGCAGATGGGAAATGTGAACCCTGTCACATCTTTGGAGAGTGAGAAATCCACTTGATGGAGAGCCTGTTTTACATGCACACTCCTCTGTGATACCCGATGGAAACTCCAGGTCACACTGGGTGTGTGGGTATTACCACGATTAGTGTACAGTGAGCAAACAGAAAGCGAGAGCAGTAGAGCAGTCGGTCAACACCAAGGACATGTGAAAGCAGGCCTGCTGGACCCCAGCCCTGTGCCCTGCCCGCTCCTTCAACCTGAGGGCGCCACTGAAGCCATTCGAGTAGAGCAGAAGAGGTGTGGTCTTTGACTCAATTCTGGCCTGACTAAGGCCAAGCCAGATATCACTATCGTAGCTTGTACTTCCGGGGCACAAAAATGTACCGAAACATTATTAAAAGTTTAATTATGAGTGTAATGTTACTGTTCTCTTTGTAATAGTCTCTCAGACTATTACAAAGAGTACAGGAATGGGCCGGCGCCACGGCTCACTAGGCTAATCCTCCGCCTGCGGTGCCGGCACACAGGGTTCTAGTCCCGGTCGGGGCGCCGGATTCTGTCCCGGTTGCCCCTCTTCCAGGCCAGCTCTCTGCTGTGGCCCGTGAGTGCAGTGGAGGATGGCCCAAGTGCTTGGGCCCTGCACCCCATGGGAGACCAGGAGAAGCACCTGGCTCCTGCCTTCGGATCAGCGCGGTGCGCCAGCTGCAACGCTCTGGCCGCGGTGGCCATTGGAGGGTGAACCAACGGCAAAGGAAGACCTTTCTCTCTGTCTCTTTCTCTCACTGTCCACTCTGCCTGTCAAAAAAAAAAAAAAAAAAAAGAGTACGGGAATGGTCATTTTTCAGTACTGTCAGCTGTTGAAATGCTTTGGGGAGTCAATATGGAGAATTGATCACATTAACAAAAGCACTCATGCAACAGACATTGGCGGTCAAGAGTTTTTTTCTTTGTTTCTTTGTTTCCAAAAATTACCTCTGCTTGCACGGGGTCCTGGAAGGGGGTGTTATCAGCACGCTGGCTGCAGTAGGACTAGGGCTGTCTCAGGTCTCCAGCTTAAACATCCGGCGTCTGCTGAGGGCGCGCGCTGACGCAGACCTACACGGAAGCCTCTCGGCTGCTGGAGCTCCCTGCTTGGCATCTTCAGAAGCACCAGGCTTCAGTTTCTCACTCACTTGTCAGAAGCACCAGGCTTCAGTTTCTCACTCACTTGCAGTGTTTGTTTGGAAAGGTCACTTGGTTGATGTGGGACTTGTTTGCACACCAAACGAGTTTACAAAACATAGCATTAGGGTGCAATAGGATCTTTATGATTGTCTAAGGATGCCATTTCTTCATAAAGGTACCTACAGTACTTTCTCTATCTAACGCTTCAAAAGTCCTTGCTTCAAAAGTTAGTAATATTTGTTGTACATTTCAATACACAAATGCTTTGGAATCACTCTAGCATTTTGTTCTTAACCATTTGTTAATCTATCCATTTAACTGACTGTCGGGGTTCTTGGATTTATGAAGCTTACATGTTCTGTCCCAGGAATGGTTTCCTGTGTTTGAACGAAGATGTCTGTTTATTCACAGGAGTGTCAATGCTTTGTCTTGCGTACCTTACCCTGCTGCTACCCTTCCTGAATTTCATGGTAGCCATTGCCATCAGTGATAGCACACGAGCCAGAGAAGCAGGCTTGTCTGTGGGTTTGCACTTGGCCTCTGGTCTGCTGAAGAGAGAGGCCAGACTTGAGGCTCAGTGGCAGGCGCATCCTTATTTGCTGCTCCTAATAACAATCTTCTGGATTTCCCTCTAGTTGGAGGATAAGCGCGAGTGAAGCTCTCAAGCACCCTTGGTTGTCAGACCACAAGCTCCACGCCAGGCTCAGTGCCCAGGTGACCACGCCTTCTTCTTTCTCCTCTTCTTTCCTTGTCTTTTGATGAGCTGATGCCAGCCAGAGTCCCATTAACCCTAAGTGAAGAAGTGCTTTCTCATAGCTTTCAATCTTGTGTTTGTGTTAAATTGCTTAAAATGCTTTCATAGAGCAGTTCATATTTTTTTAAAATGCCAATATTATTTGTATATGTTTAGTAGAGTGTTATTTTCACCTTCACTGGTTATCTTTATTTTCAAATCATCATACTCACTATAAATGAGTCACAGCTTTGTGGTATGTGAACACACTTACACACATGTGTGAGGGCTCTTCACAAAGTTCTCAGACAGTGAATAGCATGAAAAAACTGCATGGGTCTGAAAATGCTCTGTACCAAAATAAACATCCCTTTTCAAAAGATTGATAGATTGATTTGAAAGGCAGAATGAGCCGGCGCCACGGCTCACTAGGCTAATCCTCCACCTTGCAGCACCAGCACACCGGGTTCTAGTCCCCGTTGGGGCGCCGGATTCTGTCCCGGTTGCCCCTCTTCCAGGCCAGCTCTCTGCTGTGGCCCGGGAGTGCAGTGGAGGATGGCCCAAGTGCTTGGGCCCTGCACCCCATGGGAGACCAGGAGAAGCACCTGGCTCCTGCCTTTGGATCTGCGCGGTGCGCCCGCCACGGCGGCCATTGGAGGGTGAACCAAAGGAAAAGGAAGACCTTTCTCTCTCTCTCTCTCTCTCTTTCTCACTGTCCACTCTGCCTGTCAAAAAAAAAAAAGAAAAAGGCAGAATGACACACAGAGGGAGAAAGAGAGAGAGAGAGAGAGAGAGAGAGTTCTTTCATCCACTGGTTCACTCCCTCAAACGGCTCCCACTCCTGGGTCTGGGCCAGGCCAAAGCCAGGAGCCTGGAACGCCATCCTAGTCGCCCACATGGGCAGCGGGGGGCCAGGCACTTGGACCATCATCTACTGCCTTCCCAAGCACATTAGCTGGGAGCTGGATCAGGAGCAGGGTAGCTGGGACTGGGGTGCAGGCGTCACAATTGATGGTTTAACGTTCTGTGCAACACATTTGCCCTGATAAACTTACCTTGCCATTTCATTTTTCATAAAATTTTTGAAGGACCCTCGTGTGTAGCCTAGGGTATACAAGCATAAAAAGCACTGGAAAGTCTAGACGAATATACATTTGAGAGAAGTTAGAGCTCTAAGCTCTGTTGACCTGTTTTGGCCTGCTCAAGGCATCAAGTCTTCACTCCAGCACTGAGCTTGGACAAGATGCCATACAGGTATTTGTGAAGGAGACTTTTAGTAGAGTCTGAGGGCCGCAGTGTTTGTGGCGCTCCAGGGAGCCCCATTCTGTGGTAACCTCTTACAGTGACTTTGCACCTGCTCCCATTGATGTCACTGCTCTCTCACTTCTGTCTGCACCAACTTGCCCCCTAAGCCTCAGATCCTTCGATTCAGACCCAGCTGAGTAGTGTGTTTCCACTTGGACCTTCCAAGCCCTAAACAAGCTCGGCTCCCCACACCTCCCCTCAGCGCCCCCTCCCGCTTCCTCGGGCCGGGCCAAGGATGCCCCTGGGCAGCCTCAACAGACCTTGCATCTTCCTTGTTTCCTACCTCTCCTTCCATCCCCCCTCCCCAGCTCATATTTCACGTATCCCCAAGTTCCTTATTCGTCTGGAATCTGTCCACTCCGTGGTTCCAACTCCATGGTTTTCCTGGTCTGGGACGTCTGTTCCCCAAATCACTGCCATCACCTCCCTAACCAGCCTCTTTGCCTTCTTCATGTCGTTTCCATCCAAGTAATTGTGGATTACAGAACGGACACAGAAGCAGATGTGTAGCACACAGGTCTCTACCACATACTTGGGATGGCCAGCCAGGTGCACACACAGGCTCACCGGGGGCGCAGCTCCCACGGGTTCCACGAGGGTGGCACTGCCGCAGCCCGGCACGTACGAGCCTGCCACACATTCATTTCTCCCACCTTTTCTTCCCCACTCCCTGGGGTTTCCGAGTGGAACTTTTCCCCTGACCAACAAACCCTGGAGTGACTGTGCTTCAGGTACTCATTTTTTCCACATCCAGCGTTTATTGAAATTAACTCTACTTCTAAATCCAGCACCAGAACCAAGTTGTATTTGTGTCTGAATATACCCTTGCTTGATAATTGGCACTGATGTCAAGCAAAAATAGGCTTATTACCTAGCTGGTGCCTCACCCAGACGGCATAAGCTGCTTATTAGGGTGACCAGCCTATTTTAGGCCCATTCTCCACCAACGTGTTTTTATCCGAGCTTATTGGTGTCCAGATACACTTTGACGTGGCAGGACAATATAGAAACCACAGTAGAGAATTAATGACATTGTACAGCCTAAAAAATATTTTACAATATTTTTAAAACCATATAACGACAACCAAAAAATCACCTTTTTTGTTATTCTACCTAACTGCTAGTGGATATTTCAAGAGTGATGACAATTAAAGAAGTAAATTCTGTTGTAAAAATCTGGTTATCATTAAAGTTATAATTATGTAACATGGTGCCAGGCCCTGTTCCAGTACATTACAAAAGTTAACTCACGGAATCTTCATACCAAGCCTCGAGGCAGGCACTGTTATTGTCGCCATCCATAGATGAAGACACAGGATGAGGGTGACGGTCTGGCCTCTGCTGGTGGACGGGGCTTGAACGAAGTTTCCAGAACATTCTTTTTCTGTGCTACTGAAAACCAATATCCAGACTTAATGTTTTATATTTTCTTTATTTATTTTGTTTTTAAAGATTTAGTTATTTACTTGAAAGACAGAGTTACAGAGAGAGAGAGAGAGAGATCTTCTGTTGTGTGATGGTTCACTCCCCAAATGGCCGCAACGGCAGGAGCTGGGCCAGGAGCCAGGAGCTTCTTCTGGGTCTCCTGTGTGAATGCAGGGGCCCACGCACCATCTTCCACTGCTTTCCCAAGCCATTAGCAGGGAGATGAATCTGAAGTGGAGCAACCAGGAGTAGAACCAGCACCATATGGGGGCTAGCTCTGCAGGGAGTGTTTCATATTTTCAGCGAACTGCACATTGAGTACCCCTCATTCGGGATGCTCAGGACCAGAAGTGTTGCGGATCTCAGAATATTTGCACATACAAATTGTGCACATACACAATGAGATCCTGTGGGGATGGGCCCCAAGTCTAAGCATCAAATTCCTTTATGAATCATATTAACTACCCATCCCTGAAGGCTTCTTACACAGTATCGTTCGTGCTCCTGTGTTGACCCTGTGCCGGTTTTCATTCTGTAAGTCAGGAAGTGATAGAAACAGTTGTCCTCCTTCTCAAAATGTCTTCTGGTTTTCCTAGAAAAAGAAGAAGCCGCATTGCAGCTCTGATTCCCAGAACCTGTGACCAAAGAGTCTACGGTGGATGCCCGTTTGAAAGGTTGGTACCAGGGCTGTCTCTGTGCAAGCCCTGAGAGAAGGGCGTGTGGAAGGACTTGCACTTGAGCTTGCACAGGCTGTGGGAGGCTGGCAGCGTTTCTGCTGAGGCAGAGGCCCTGACATCAGACTGCTGTGTTTCCCCCCGAATCTGCCCTTTCCTGATGTGTGGGTTGGGAATGGTCTCACTCCCTAGCTTGCTGTGTGGCTCCTGTGAGATACTGAGCCAAAGCCCCGAGCCCAGGGCCTGGGACACTGAAGCACTCAGTAGCCAGCTCAGGAGGCATGACACTGGCCTAGGTCGCCCTTACAATCGGTGAGCGCAGAGGAAGACATACTCCCTTTGTACAGACGGGAAAACTGAGGTTCAGAAGCTACAGCCTGCATTCACCTCTCCCCTGAGCTGCCTCCCGGCCTTGGCTCGGCCTCCGATCCCAGAAAGCACCACTCCCGACCAGCCCAGATGTGCATTCTCTTCTATCTACCCCACTTAGAGTTTTGTCAGAATTCCTAAGAGATGGTCTTACACACGAATGCCTCCGTTCAGATCCACAGTCCAGACTGTTGCATGCCCTAGACGGCAGGACATCAGTGTACTTTTATGGGGGACCTTTAGCAGCCCCCAACATTTATGTCCTTGCTGGGCGATCACTGACCTTCCGGTCATCCAGCTCCCCTACTCTTGGGCCATAAGTCCATGGTCACTTGTGCAGTTCACTTGTAACCACTGGGCAGGATTTATGACTTGTGAGTCGGCGACTTGCTGCCCACTGGTCCTAATCCTTTATTCTGATCTGTGTTTTTCTGAGTCTGAGGTTTCTGCTTGACTTTCTGACTGTGTGTATTCCTGTAAGCGGCCTTGAAGCTTTTGTAGAACAAGATGAGGTAGAAAGAAATCAGTCTATCATAATGGGCGGGAACAATGTGAGCAAAAACCCTTGGGCTTTAGGGGAAGGCTCACTTGCTTAGCCTATCCTTTGTTTGGAAATCTACAAAACATTAACAGCAAGGCCCATGTGCTTTTCTATTTACAAAGACTGTTCTTTTTTTGTTGCGAATAGTGAGGCCATAAGTTTTGGGAGGAGAAACAGGCCGTGGTGTTCCAAGGACTCTTGTTCTCCTGGGGTCCTGGAGCCCAGGGAGGGTCCTCTGCTTCGAGTCACAGGCAGCGGGCCCATGTCCGCTCCTGCTCTGTCCCCTCCTTCACCCTCTCCCCCAGAAGCAGTTTTGTCCCCAGTACCGCAAAACCCCAAGGGTTTGCCACAAACCACCTTCCCACTGTAAGGCCTGGTGGGAATGGATGCCTGGGTGACAGGGGGGTGCATTCCAGGGCAGGCCGGTCGCCAGGGCCTGGCCAGGGAAGAATGGGGAGGAAATGGCAGTGGGAGGAGACAGAATCTTTCCACACTGCACTTGGCGCTTTGAACCCAGTGTGACAGAGACCGTGGCAGCCCACACAGCGGCAATTAGAGGACAAAGACAGCAGCACTGGAGCTGCTCACGCTGGCACAGTGAGACGTACGCTTTGCAGGAACCGCCGGGCGAGCGCTGTCTGCACTTGGTCACGTCCGCCTCCTGGCACTCACCTGGGCTGGCCGCTTCCTGTTCCAGGGCCACAGAAATCCACCTGGGTCCCGCTGCAGGCCAAGGGAAAATCATTTCAGAACCACAGGATCCGGATGCTTCCTCCTTGATGTTCTTACTTCCTGTTTGTAAATTGAAATGTAAATTTAAGATGCTACTTCTACGTTTAAATAAAAGGGAAAAAGAGATCATCCTTCACCATGACATTCTCTGCCAGCCTAAGAGGAGGGTTTTGGCGAGATACATTATGAGTGAAACCAGACTTGAGATAATATTGATTTTAAAAACCGAGTGGTTGAAGATTATTCCTGTGGAAAAGGAAGAGTTCCAGGCCAAACGAATAAGGCATAATCCACAATGTAAATTGAGGCATATAAATCTCCTGCAATTTGTTAGAGGGTTTTTGATGCATCAAAGAAACGCTTCCCAAATCCAGCCGGTGGCATTCACTGCCGGCCTCCACCCTGACGTCCTGCCCGCCTGGGAGAGACCAGCCCAGGACACCTCTGCATCCACAGAATGGCTGAGGGCAGGGTCCAGGTCGGAGCTGGACAGAGAGCAGATGGGAATACAGTTGCTTCCCCCATCGCTGGCGCCTGTGTTCTCAGATACAACCAGTCAAGGATAGAAAATACTCGAAAAAAGAAGGGGGGCACTTAGCCTACCAGTTAAGACAGCCATATCCCATGTCAGAGCACCTGTGTTTGGGGCAGGCATTTAAGGTGGGAACCAGTCGGTGGGAGCTCGCTCTCTCTCTCTCTCTCTCTCTCAGATAAATGAATGGAATTTTTTTTTTTTTTAAGAGGGGCCAGTGTTGTGGCACAGCAGGTTAAGCCGCCCTCGTGACACTGGCATCCCACAGGGGAGCGCTGGGTTGAGTCCTGGCTGCTCTGCTTCCTCTCCAGCTCCCAGCTAATGTGCCTGGGAAAGCAGCAGAGGATGGCCCAGAGATTGGGCCCCTGCCCCCCTGCAGGGCACCTGGATGGAGTCCCTGGCTCCTGGCTCAGCCTGGCTCAGCTCTTGGCGGTTATGATTATTTGAGGAGTGAACCAGTGGATGGAAGATCTCTCTCTCTCTCTCTTGCTGTTTCTCTGTCACTATGCCTTTCAAATTAATGAAATAAATCTTTAAAAAGGAATGAAGGAAGGGGAGGTACACCCTTGAAGGAAGAGGGGAAGGTAGGAAGGAAGGAAAATGTATTTGGAGACACTTGTGTTTGGCCTTATTCAGACTTTTTTTCTTGTTATTCTCTATTTTTTTTTTTTTTTTTTTTTGACAGGCAGAGTGGACAGTGAGAGAGAGAAACAGAGAGAGAGAGACAGAGAGAAAGGTCTTCCTTTTCTGTTGGTTCACCCCCAAGTGGCTGCTACGGCCGGTGTGTTGCGGTGGCGCGCTGCGCTGATCTGAAGGCAGGAGCCAGGTGCTTCCTCCTGGTCTCCCATGCAGGTGCAGGGCCCAAGGACTTGGGCTATCCTCCACTGCACTCCTGGGCCACAGCAGAGAGCTGGACTGGAAGAGGGGCAACCGGGACAGAATCCGCAGAGTGGACAGTGAGAGAGAGAGAGAGAGAGAGACAGAGAGAAAGGTCTTCCTTTGCTGTTGGTTCACCCCCAAGTGGCCTCTACAGCCGGTGTGTTGCGGCGGCGTGCTGCGCTGATCTGAAGTCAGGAGCCAGGTGCTTCTCCTGGTCTCCCATGGGGTGCAGGGCCCAAGCACTTGGGCCATCCTCCACTGTACTCCCTGGCCACAGCAGAGAGCTGGACTGGCAACTGGGACAGAATCTGGCGCCCCGACCGGGACTAGAACCCGGGGTGCCAGCGCCACAGGCGGAGGATTAGCCTAGTGAGCCGCGGCGCCGGCCTCTTGTTCTCTAAACAATACATCACCACCACTACTGCATACAGCTTTAGATTGAGTTGGATATTATAACTCGCCTGGGGAGGCTGGGGCAGATTATATGCAAATACAATGCGGTTTTCTGAAAGGGACCTGAGCATTCACAGACTTTGGTGGCCCTGGTGGCCCTGGGCCCAATCCCCTAGGGATAGCAAGGGACAAGTGTATTTCCCAGTGTGCCGTGCAGCCTCACTAGGACTCCAGGATTGAGCTGACCAAGGGATGGGTGGCAGCAGCTTCAGGAACAGCTGTGCTTCAGATGAAACAAAGGGGCCTTGTGCTCTGAGATTGCAAATAGAACAGAAATATCTTGCATCCACTAAAAAAAAAAAAAAAAAAAAAAAAAAAACCAACTCTGGTAAGCAGTGGAATTGGTCAAGAGGTTTCTGTTTTTTTTTCCTCTCTCACATCCACACATACGTTATTAAAAAAGAAATCAGCTGTGGTTTTCCTAAGGGGCACAACCAACTAATTACAATTTTAAAGTCCTGCTGAATTAACAAGATTCATATTCTGTTTGCTTTGCAGGAAAACGACTGTGGTTGCTGCTGCTTTGAGAAGATTTTTGGAAAAATCAGCAGTTCTGATGCCTTGACCCCTGTGCTGACGGGTGGCCAAAGCTGGGGGGCCCTTTGAACTCGGACTTTGAGTGATTCTCCAAGCTCAAGGGGGATACCCAGCGCTGCAGCCTCCAGGGGCTCACATAGCCCCCCACTCTTTGTTTTTCCTGGTTGACCCTCGTCGGTCGCTGGGGCAGGGCTGCATCGTGTCTGCTGTTTCTCAGACTGCTGGGGAGAGAGCATGGCTGGGGTTCTAACACCTGGAAGATGTATGGACAGGGAGCAAGTGGGGCCCCGTCACCACTCTGTGCCTTTCAAAGGGGTGTTTCGATGGCCAGAAAGAGTCCTCTGTCTGGGACCCCGGGGACACTTGGTCTCTCGGACTTTCTTGATCGAGCCTGGAAAGCGGCTGAAGCTGATGGCGGCCCTTTGGCTTGCTGGTACACAAACCTTTCAGCTCCGAGCCCGGAGGCGGCAGCCTTTGGGTCTCCCATTCATCCTGAACCCTCCCGCGGTTGCTCAGGTTCCTTCCAAGTCGCTGTCCCTACTCTCAACTTCGTCCCGTGCCTTTTCACAGCGCACCTCCTGCCCTCTCCCAGCCGGCAGGCCAGCCGCACGGAACAGCCTGGTTTGAGAGGCGAAGCGACAGCTCTCTGCCTATGGTGTCACTCTAGCGGCACCACCTCGGGGAGGGTGTGAGCAGCCTCGGGCATGTCCTGAAGCCCTGTTGTCCCTGTGAAGGGACGGCTCAGCGCTTGGCGACCAGTGTGGGTGCCCCTGGGAAGTAGCCCTCCCGTTTCTAGGTAAACACAAATGCTCACGGAGGCGCATGTGACTCGGTGGCTGTGATGAAGGAGCAGTCAGAAACCGAAGGCCAGAGGGACTCCCTGTTCAGTTCCCTTTTTGGACACCAGGATGATTTCCAGTCGGGAGCGTCATGTCCTCCAGTTCATGTACCATTTCCCGACAGATCTTTAATGGGGATGTGGGCTCTGCTGTGGCTGGTGAATCGTGCACAGAAAGACACTGGGGCTTGTACAAAGGGAAACGGGCACCGTCTCCTTAGGAGGGAGAAACACGCAAGCCAGGCTGCACACTCCACCCACGCTCGCCACTGTGCGCTCTCCTTTTTCCGTGTCAGATGGCTGCTGTGTTGAGATCAGCTGCAACAATGCCTTTCTGTGTAGCCTCCGGTCACTCTAGGCCACTGCTGTCCTGACAGCCATGGGGGCAGCGAGAGTCTCTCGGTGGCCATTTCACTGAGACCAGATTCTGTTCGCCTCAGCTTTCCCTCATTCCCTCCCACACCCACCTCACGAATTCTTGCAGCCTGCCCAGGGTCAACTACACAGGCGCTGTCTTTATTCTGTTCAATGTAAAGGTAGAGATAGAAGCGACATGTGCAATTCAGTGACAGCCACATGCCAATCTCGGGGTCACACGTACCCCTACAGAACCTACCCCTTCCCAGCCTTCGCACTTATGCTATGATGCGTTTCGATTTTTCATTCTTCCCTTTGGCCGATGCATTTATCCAAGGTTGGTTTCTCATGTTCCTGTTATGTGACTATGCTTCAAATATTTAATTTAGTGCCCTTCAAAAAACTCACACACACACACACACACACACACACACAGCCCCAGGACTGAAGTGTTGTATTACTGTGCTATCTTTAGCTAATGCTGTTCATTGAGTCTGGAAAAGTACAAGCCAGTGCCTGCGTTAATACTCAGTCAGACCACAGAGCGCTGGCACGGACTCAAATGCTGAATAGGACACAAGGGTCTGATTTGAAATCTCTCATGGAAGGGTGTTTTCTGTCCTGCCGTGGGGATCCTCCACCCAATCAAACAGGAAATCTCTTGCGTGGTGTGCTGCTCACCTCCAGCTCTGTTCTGGCTCACGTGGGCAGACCAGCTTTCCCCAGGCCCTGCCACGCACGGGCTGCATGGAAGAGGTAGCTTAGAAGGGGCTCTTTGTCAGATTAATCCACCGATGGCCCTGCCATGAGTGGGTGTGAGTTTTCCTTTTTCTCTTTGAGGTTTAGAAAGGAGACCGTACTTTGAAAACAGATCTTGTTTGAATTTGTAGTTAAATTTCCACATTTGGCTGGGAAGGCATCCTTGTGCCAGCAGGGTGCCTTTTTATGAGCGCTGAGGACGGTTCTCCTTGCACAGTTGGTGATTACAGTCTAGGGTTTCGGCGAAATGGGAGATTATCAGTCTCGGGTTCATCCTGTCCCCTCGCTCCACACCCATGAATTGCTGCCGGTATCTGGGCAGACTTGCTGCTCTGATGGGAAAAGGGGGCTTTGCAAAGCCCAGGGATCAAACCAGATGTGAGCATGGGCTCAGAGAAGCTGCGTCTGGCCGGACGGGGGCTGTATCGTGCGTGATCAGTTTTTCCAAGAAGTCGTCAGGGTTGGAGAGTGTATTTCTCCTCCACCCTCTAACAGGGTGATGCGGCTTTGCGCACGAGGGGCCACTGCCCACTGCCTGGAGAGAAATAAACCCCACAAATTATTACGGAGAAAACAGGCCCACGTTCACTCATTTAGAAGACACCAACACCTACCCAGAATCTGGGAGGAAACAGGCTCCTGCCTCTATTTCTTACATTTTTTTTTAAATTGTGGGATTATGTCCTGACCTAACTTGGGAACAGATTTCGAGGTTGAGCTTGGGTAACACACATCTGTAGATGGCCGTGGATTTGTTCTCAGCTGTTTTTGTGTCTGATTTGATATTCATTTGCTTTCCTTCCTTGAAGATGTAAATAAGCATGCTGCCATTGTCAGGGCTTATGTGAATATGTTTTGAAAGATGTGTGAATACTTATATTTTCATTCATTTCATGGAAATTAGTAGAGTGAAAATTTTTTTCTTATTTTAGAATTGAAATATGGATTTTGTCCTAGGGCACTGCGAATCTTGCTCTTCATTCCTGTTTCGTGTGTGCATCTTGTCCCTCTCCTCCCTGACCCTTGCCCAGCCATCCAGCAAGGGTGCCAGCAGGCATGCGTTTGCTTGTTTAGTTTGGGCTGTGGCTCAGTTGATGAACCCTCATTTGGAACATACACTCGTGAAAGCGTAAGGCAGAGGAAGGAAGATTCCCCGGTGGGCTGCAGCCGGGGGGCTCAGTTCACGCTCTGTTCCTGGCCCGTCTGTCACGTGCGTGGGCTGCGACTTCATACCCGTCACAGTATACTCCTGCAAAGCCTTTGTGAGATGAAAACTTCAACTCCAAATGGCAAATTGCTGCGTCCTGGAGGAGAGCGCGTGCCGGACTGACTTGAAGTTGCCGCTGAGTCAGGCCACTCCCTTGGGGGTTGGAGGTCTACAGCCCCCTAGATTAGGAGAGCCGTGTATTGAGGTGTGTTTTGTACGGGCAGTTCCACCTTCCATGAAGGCTGATAACTCGATTCCTGCCACCCACTCAGAACAGCAGGAAACACCGGCGCTGGAGCGTGCTCGTGTTGACGTGTATTTTGCTGTCATCAGCTGACGGACGTCGGATGAGTCCTTCCGATGAGGTTTCTCCACGGAGACAGGAAATGCAAATGACTCGCTGACATCGTGCACATGTTTGATTTCTGAACGTAGCTTCCATCACGTGTACTGCTTTGTCTTATAAAGAGATGTGAGTCACATACTTGTGTTATGTTAAAGAACAAGCATGGACATCATGACTCCTTTGTTAATGGGATTAATTATTCAGTGGAGTAGATTTGCCCCTGCAGTGTAGCCTCACACGTCAATTCCTGTGACACTGAGAACCCAAGGCACCTTCAGGCTCCTCCTTCTTCCAGGGGCTCTGGAGCTGTCCACAGGCCGGCCCCATGGCTGAAGGTGGCTCCCCCACTGGGACACACACGATGCACCCATGCAGTGTTCAGAGGGTTGCTTTTCCCTATCAATACAGAGCTGTCGCCTGAGAGCTGTGTAACGTGTCTCGTGTCAGAACGGCACTGGTAAATGACGAAGGCAATTGTAGCAGCCTGCCTTTGGTGGACTTCCTGAGTCGCTGACTACGCCGTGGGCCCTGAGAAGCATCTGTTCAGGCAACAGGAGACGGTCAGTAGGAAGGGCCATCCCATTACAAGTGGCAACCTTACATTCTGAGCTCTGTGTTGGCCCTGGGGACTGTCCAGGTCCCCTGCTTGCACGTCTGGGACGACATCTAGGCACAGCCAACACTCCTGACTTAGCCCATCAGGGAAGGGAAGTTCTAGGGGTTGTCCCACCAGCACTGGGGTCTCCCAACCCGTCTGGCTTAAGAGGGGCCCACTGGACTCTTCCCTCCTCTACCACAGGCCTGGGGAGGGGTCGTGTTCTCTCCCACAGCAGTTCTGTCCCTCTTTTCCCACTTGAGCCTGTAAGCCAGGTGTTCTGACTTTCCTCCCGAAGTGAAGACACCTCCCTCCCCTCCAATATCCGAGCAAAATGGGCCCTGGGGCACAGCTCCGCTCTTTCCCAGGAACAGATCTTCAAAGCTAGAGTTACGGGGCCAGCAACTCGGAGATGAGAATCAGTTGTCTTCCTGCTCCTCACCTCCCTCGTCCTCTCAGGGTGGAGTGGAGTGGATGATCTCCCTCACCACGCCCACAAAGGGAGAGCCAGACACCCTTGACCACATCACCTCCCCACCGCCACCTCACCGTTCTGAGCCGCTGGGAAGATGACTGCTTCCTGGCGCACCTGCTTTGTCATCCTTCCTACCCCTTGTAGGATCTCCTGAAATCCAGTAATCGGCCTTCTCCAGATGGCACTGTGTGTAGGCTGGGTCTCTTGGAAGATCCTGCTCTTTATTTAGCTGGGTCTTGGCCTCAGCTGCAGGGGTCAGGGCCTGTGCATTCTACAAAGCTCATTCAGTTCTTTCTCCAAAATGTTCTTTTTATTTTTTTTTAAGATTTGTTTATTTATTTGAAAGTCAGGGTTACAGACAGAGGTGGAGTGGTTGGGGGAGAGCTATCTGCCATTCACTGGTCCACTCCCCAGGTGGCTACAACAGCCAGGGATGGGCCAGGCTGAAGCCAGGAGCTTCGTCTGGGTCTCTCACATGGGTGCAGGGGCCCAAGCCCTTGTGCCATCTTCTCTGCTTGTCCCAGGCACATGAGCAGGGAGCTGGATTGGGAGTGGAGCAGCCAGGACTGGAACTGGAACCAAATGGGATGCCAGCGTCAAAGCCAGTAGCTTTACCTGGCACACCACAATGCTGGGCCCCCTCCCCAAAAGACCCCTATGCAAGTTTATGAACCAGTGAATCAGGGTGAGTGGGACACCCCCCCCACACACTGCTGCTCCATTTCACCTACAGACGCCGCCACCCGTGCCACACCCCAGCCACGGAGCATCCCTCCAGAGGCCAGAGTTTCAAGGCAACAGCAGTGTGGTCTTTCGTGGCGTCCCCACTGACCTCACGAGATGGGCGCGGTCATGCAGAAGAGTGGAGAACGCTCATTGCCCAGAACCAAGGAAACAGGGCCATCACTGCTGCTGGGTCAGTCTCAGCAGCTGCCAGAGGCTTCCAACGTCTACAGGTGAGAGAAGGCACTAGATCGCCCCCACTGCCTAGGCTGCCCACCCGGTGGTATCTGATGCCTGGTGAGCAGGATTCACACTGAGTTCTCACCCGATGAGCAGTGGCAAGTACAGCCATTGCGACCTAAGTTTCACGTTAGTCTAGTGGTGACCCGGCTCCCCGACCTTTTGGGCCTTGGCAGAATCTTCCATGGAAGTTTTACTCTGACTCATGCGGCGGTATCCGCCTCGAGTGGCCTTTTCCATTCTGATCACAGGACCCGACCGACAGATTTGTTGGCTCGTTCGGCAGTGCGCACTGTCAATGGCTGAACACAGGACTCAGTGAAGTTCCCAGACTCTGAGCTGCTGCGCTTGCTGGACTCCTCCCCTTTGTATAGGAGTTACCATCTTATTACCACGCTCTCATTTCAAATGACAAATACATTCTTCATTTAATGGACCAAAGAGCTGTACAGCATTTCTAGCCAGTCACACACTTTAAAAACTATTTATTTCACCAATTTAAAAAATATCCAATATGTTAATTTAAAGCTTTTTTTTTTAATTTGACAGGTAGAGTTATAGACAGTGAGAGAGAGAGAGAGAGAGAGAGAGAGAGAGAGAAAGGTCTTCCTTCCATTTGTTCACCCCCCCAAATGGCTGCAATGGCCAGAGCTGGGCGAATCCGAAGCCAGGAGCCAGGAGCTTCCTCCAGGTCTTCCCATGTGGGTGCAGGGGCCCAAGGACTTGGGCCATCTTCTACTGCTCTCCTGGGCCACAGCAGAGAGCTGGATCAGAAGTAGAGCAGCCAGGACTTGAACCCGCACCCACATGGGATGCCAGTGCTGCAGGCGGAGGATTAACCAAGTGAGCCACGGCACCAGTCCTAATTTAAAACTCTTGTGGTATTGCACAGACATAGGAGAGGAGGAGGCATGCTTAAATCAGCCTTCTTTTGCCAATTTTAGATGTTACCTACCAACACCCTGGAGCGTATATTCTCAATTAGGTCAACGTTCCTCGGACGCTGACTGGTGGCCAGAGCGTGTCAGAGATCCCTGCAGCGTCTCACACAGCCTTCCTGGAAGAAGCCCTTTCAACACCCGCCTCGGGCCCCTCATGGAGTGGCCGAGGAAGAGCCGCGTCCCCAGGATGGCCAGGGACCCTCTTCCTTCTCCAGTGTTCCTGGGGCGGCTTGTTCTGCTCCAAAACACCATCTTCTACAGTCCAGCAGCCCCGCCCACCTCCCCGAGCCCCCTGCCCTGTCCGGTGCATCTCTGCTCCAGTCTGAGTGCCCGAGAGCCATGGCGGCTGTCGGTCACCAGCTCTGTCCCCACAGCTGGGTGCAGCCCCGGAGCAGACGCGGAGCAGCCAGGGGGAATCCTGCTGAGCAGAGCCTCTTCCCTCCCAGACCCCTGGTCCTTCCGAGCTCACGTTCCTCTTGAAGCTAAGAGGCCGTCATTTTCAGGGGAGAGTCGCTCTACCAGGAGGACACGGGCGCCGTCTGCTCGCTTGCTTTCCAGTCCTCACGCCCGGCTTTGCTGCTGGGGAGCCGGAGCCGCTGCGCACTTGTACTCCGGGATCTCGCCAGCGCGCAGCACTGGGCTCCTGAACTCCCCGCGTCGTCCCCTCCCCCGTCCCCCGATCGTTTTGCTTTTAAAGCGCACACATCCGGTCATTTCAAGGTTCGAAACTTGGGCTCGATGTGTTTTCACTCCTTGCTGTGAAGTTTAAGGTCCTCATGTGTTCATGTGATCCACCGTACATTTAACTCCATCTGCCATGTTTCCCGACCTAAAGACACAGAGACTCATCCTTGGGTCTCCAGTAGGGTCATAGAGCAGCATCCCTGACCAGAGATGGGCTACAGCCGTGGGTCTTTTTGGACATCACAGTTCAGACCATTTATGGTGTTACTCCTCCTTATCACAGCCGGTGCTAGGACAGAGGACCTCTCCCGGGGGCTCACCTGCATAGCTGTTGGCAAGAGGCCACAGTGTCTTGCCAGGGGGGCTTCTCCACCTGTTAGCTGACCGTGTGACTGACACCCAGCTGTTCAGAGTGAGTGATCAAAGAGAGAGCAAGATAAAAATCCCAATGCCTTCTATAGTCTACCCAACCCCCCCCCCCCCACTGCACCATTCCGCATAGGAAGTAGTGACCATCCACCATCCTATAGCTCCCCAATGATGCACACCCTCCCCATGCAGAACACACCCACCCCAAATGGCCCCTAACCTCCTATCCTATGACAGCACCAGCTCAAAGTCAGGATTCTGACCTTCCAAATCAAGTCTAGTTGTGGGTGAATCTTCTCCAGTAACGTTCTTTAAGCACAGCTTCTCAGGCACACTTCCTCTGGATCAAAGACTTACAAACCAGAGAGTACAGACAGCCACCCCTCTTGCTTTTCCCCCATACACACCTCACATAGGAAGGTGGACAGGCATTGGACAGCCACTAAAAATATTTCTATTAGAAAGGAGGGAAGAGGACCGACACACAAGGCTCACTAGCTTGGGGTTGGCACTGTGGCTTAGTAGGCTAACCCTCCTTCTATGTTGCCAGCATCCCATATGGGTGCTGGTTTGAGTCCCGGCTTCTCCACTTCCTATCCAGAGCCCTGCTAATGGCCTGGGAAAGCAGTGGAAGATGGCCCAAGTCCTTGGGACCCTGCACCCATATGGGAGACCTGGAAGAAGCTCCTGGCTCCTGGCTTTGGATTGGTCCAGCTCCAGCCATTATGGCCATTTGGGGAGAAAACCAGCAGATGGAAGACCTCTCTCTCTGTCTCTCCCTCTCTCTGTCTGTAACTCTACCTCTCAAATAAATAAATGAATAAAATCTTAAAAAAAAAAGACTGGCCCATAGTAATTCTGAAATTCAGCAAAGTAAATGTTGGGAGGTCCTTGAGTAGGATGTCTTACTCTTTCCCAGGGATGGCCTACCATGGCTCTTGGCTGCACCTTTTGGCCACTGGTTTATCCCTCTTCCTTCTCTCTGTGTGCGGCAATGTAGGTTTCTCAGCCCATTTCCTGCCAATAGAAAACTGAGAGCAGAGTCCTCTTCCTTCTTGGTGCTTTTTCTGCCTGTTTCAGCCACGCTGGTGGTGCACCTGGCAGCATGAGTGTCTGACAAACCTTATAGGCCTCTTGAGATTTTTACTGGGATTCATCTCGTTAGACAAAGATCATATCCAGACATCTCTGCTCCACTTCGGGCTCTGCTGAGCCTAATGAAGGGCAGTGCCCTTGAACTTCTCAGACGCTCTGCTGTTTGATCCAGCGTTGGATGCACTGTCTTGGGTATTTCTGAAGACTTAACAAAGAATTTAAAATCTTTTTAAAAAAGATTTATTTATTTGAAAGGCAGAGTGACAGAGAGAGAAGGAGAGGGAGAGAGAGCGAGGGAGGAAAAGAGGGAGAGAGGGAATCTTCCCATCTGCTGCTTCACTCCTCAAATGGCCGTAACTGCCAAGGCTGGGCCAGGCCAAAGCCACAAGCCAGGAACTCCCTCAGTCTTCCACACAGGAGGCAGAAACCCGAGTCCTTGGGCCCTCCTCCACTGCTTTCCCTGGTGTATTAGCAGGGAGCTGGACCAGGAGCGGGACAGCTGGGACTGGAACTAATACTTTGATAAGGAAATGCTTAATCTACTGTGCCACAATGCTAGCCCCGATTTTTAAATTCTTGATTTCATGGTTAGATCACATAATCTTTAGAATTCCCTGGATTTGATCTTTTAAAAGATTTATCCATTTATTTGAGAGGCAGAGTTGCAGACAGAGAGAGAGAGAGAGAGAGAGAGAGAGAGAAAGAAAGAGGTCTTCTATCCATTGGTTCACTCCCCAGATGGCTGCAATGGCAGGAGCTGTGCCGATCCAGAGCCAGGAACCAGGAGCTTCTTCTGGGTCTCCCACTTGGGTGCAGGGGCCCAAACACTTGTCCCGTCTTCAGCTGCTTTCCCAGGCCATCAGCAGGGAGCTGGATCAGAAGTGGAGCAGCCGGGACTCAAACCAGCATCCATATGGGATGCCAGCACTGCAGGCAGAGGCTTAACCTACTACACCACAGTGCCGGGCCCTGGATTTGGTCTTTACCTGGAAGCCATGATTAACTGCTTCTTTCATAACAGTCCTCACAATATCTTCTAAACTTTATCTTCCTCCCTCCCTCCTTCCTTTCATTTCTTTCTCTTTCTTTCATTTTACATTTTTGGCCCCAGTTTCTGCATACCACAAATCCCTAAGTACAGGGATTAGGGTCTTCTTGGCATAATCAGTCTTTCCCCCCAAGTCTCAACAGAGACACAGAGACAGTCTTTGAGTGTATGTGTCCCAACTTCGCTGGATTTGGAATGAGAACATTTCAACACCAATAGCAAGACCTAATGAAACAACTTCAAAACTATTTGGAATAATTTTTTCTTGTAATTTAGACTCTTTTTGGTTTCCCTTACATGTCTCATCAAGAGGTTGATGCAATAGGGCAGAATTGCATAAATCAGTTTTATTTTCTGAGTATATTAATAATTTTAAAATATTTTTATACATATGCTTAAAGGTATGTCAATCTCAGAGAAAACAAGTCAAAGTCCTAGTTCCTGCTAATTAATGTCTGAACTTTTCCCCCTCAATTATTTCACACACCTGTTCACTGTAAATTTCCTCAACTATTTTAATATCACATTAACGCTGCCCAGAACTTGGATGCACACCTGAAGTTTTTCTGAATTTTAATTATTTTCAAATTAATTTTAATATTCTCGATGATTTCAAACTTACCATATGTTTAATAAAATTGAACTTCATATTTAAAAAAATGTTTAACTTTTCTTAAGGTTTCAAAAGATAACTTATGGTGTATTTTTACGAATGCTTTTAAAATACTTTAAAAAAATTCTTTCCCTGAAAACCTTGTTTGTCCCAAATCTTATCATTCCGTGATTAACGCAGCCACTTGTTTCCTGCGTGGATGCTCCCAGATTTTCACGGCGAAACACGGTTTTACTCTGCTGGGAGTCCTCCTGCGGCTTCTGCTCGCTGGATTCCGTATCCTTGCCCAATCTGTCAGTTTCCTCCTGCCTCACCCAACAGTCCTTCTGGTTCGGGTTGTGCCATCTGACTAGCTTGGCTAACGCTCATGTTTTTTGGTTAAGATGCCCCACAACACTCGAGCATTTGGTTTTGATACCACAAAGCAGAACAACCCAGGTGATCGCACCTACTGGGACAAGTGACTGGGACTTGCAACGTTCAAAACAGGACTCTCATGATAGGGCAATGATGCGTATTGGCTAAATGAGATTCCCACCTGCTCACAGCAAGTAGTAAACCGTGTTCGCTGTTATCCTCTGCATGGTGGTTCATGTCGATCGGTCGCTTAACAGCCATTTTCATCCACTGTTGGCAGTTACTGCAGAGCGACAGTGCAGAGGCAGCGGGGGACCCAGAACTAGGACTCGCTGGGTGCGTGGGGCACACGGCCTTCCTGAGTGAAAACACTCGTGCTCCGATGGTGCACGCACACATCCCTGGACTCACAGGTAGATGATCCACGGTGGGTAGCGGGCAAAGAAAGAAGAGAGAAACTCATTTAACTGATATGAACTTGACCTAAAGACTCAACTCCTAGACCCGTTTGTGCTACTCACCGGTTCCGATTTCCCTTTACTGTCACGGGGCGGACACGATGATAGCCACCTGCAGGCGATGTGGGTGGAGCAGTTCCTGAGGTGCTGAGATCCCTCCTTGGACTCCAGCATTCAAATCATCACCCTGGGGTGCGAGACGCTCTCTCCCACTGTGTCCTCTTTGCTTCAAGCCTGTTTGAAATCCCTCTTCAGAGACTGCCCCCTGTCCTGCTTTGCAAATGTCCCCAGGAAAACAGTGTGATCGTCTACCACCCAGCATTTAGACCAACAATGGAATCACTTAGCCTCATCGGTCGCACTGGCTCCAGTGACTTCTGCCTTCAAATGATATCTTATTTCATAGAACTTTTAAATTGAAACAATTGCCATCATGCAGGATGCTTTAAAAACTGCCGTGGAAAGAACAGGCATTTGGTACAACAGTTAAGACGCTGAGTCCTGGATCCGCCTTCAATTTCAGCCACAGGTGATGGCTCGAGTATGTGGGTCCCTGCTGCCCACGTGGGAGACCCAGGCTGAAATCTGAGTTCCTGGCTTCAGCCTGATTCTGCAGCATTTGGGGGAAGACACCAGCAGATGAAAGATTTCTATGTCTCTTCCTTTCAAATCAAATGAAAATTAATTAATTAATACATGGGAATAAACTGTGGAAGATACAGTAAAAATCAGTTTGGAAACATTCCAACATGGTTTTGAGATATGGTAGAACAACTGAATAGGTGTCACTCCCAAGTTACTCCCATGACAGCGAGCACAATCGTTCCTGAAATAGGCTTTGCTGATACAAATTTCCCTATTAGCAATGATTTATCTGCATCCCAGAAGCGAGATGCTGTATTTTCACTTTCACGCATCTCAACGTATTTTCTAGCTTCCTTGTCATTTTTTTTACTCAATAGTTCTTTGTGGATTGCTAAATTTCCACAAATTTGTGAGTTTTCCAAATTTCTCTCTGTTGAGTTCTAATTTAAACCCTTTGTGATCAGAGAACACACTTCGTATTTTAGTCTTTTAAAAACGTTCTGTGGCTTGTTTTATGGGCTAACATGATCTAGCTTGGAAGATGTTTCATGTTTGGAAAGAATGTATCTTCTACCATTGCTGGTGAGGCGTTCTATAGATGTTTGTTAGGTGTTCTGGGTTTCTAATTTTGTTTAATTCTTCTCCTTCTATGCTAATCTGCCCTTTTTTTCTATTCAGTATTGAAAGCAGCGTATTGAATTCTTTGACTACTCTGAAATTGCATATTTCTCCCTTCAAATCTATTGGTTTTTGCTGTATATTATTGGGAGATTTCCTGTGATGTACATACATGTTTATAATTGTCCTCTGAGGCATTGACCATTTTATCACTAAAAAATGCTCCTCTTTGTTCCTAGGAATAATTTTTATTGTAAAGTCTACTTTGTCTGGTGATAGTATAGCCACTTCATTTGTCTTTGGATTGCTGTTGGCATGCCAAATATATATATATACATATGTCATTATTGATAAGAAAGATTTACATCTATCATTTGTTTGTTTTCCATATAGCATATAATTTTTGTTCTATTATTACTGTTATATTTTATGTTAAACAAATTTTTCTAACATAGCATTTTAATTCTCTTTCTGTTTCTTTTACTGTATTATTTATTTATTTGAGAGGCAGAGGCACAGACAGTGAGAGGTAGAGAGAGACAGAGAGGTCTTCTATCCACTGGTTCACTCCCCAGATGGCTGCAGTGGCCGGAGCTGGGCTCATCCGAGGCCTTTTTCTAGAATTTCACATAAATGGAATCATATAGTAAACCCGCATTGCCCGTCTCTTCTCACGCGTGCCGTTATTTTCAGATTTGCCCCCATTCTACAGTAGCTGTTTGTATTGCTGAGTACTGAGCCATCGTACAGAAGCAGAGTGCAGTCACCCAGCGATGGACATTTGGTGGTTTCCACGTTTGGGCTAAAGCTGCCGTGAACATTCCCTCACAAGTCTTTGTATGGCCATATGCTTTCATTTCTCGGGTAAATATCCAAGCCAGGAGCCAGGCACCAGGTGCCTCTTCCAGGTCTCCCACGGGGGTGCAGGGGCCCAAGCACTTGGGCCATCTTCTACTGCTTTCCCAGGACACAGCAGAGAGCTGGATCGGAAGTGGAGCAGCCGGGACTGGAACTGGCACCCACAGGGATGCTGGCACTGCAGGCGGCGGCTTTACCCACTACACAACAACGTTGGCCTCTCTTAAATTTCTACATGAATTTTTGAATGAATGTGTCAATTTCAAAAAGAATATCTGCTTGAAATTTGCTTGGAATTGCATTGAACCTATAAGTTAATTTGGGGAGAACCGGGAGTTTTCTGATACTGATGCACAGTATATTTATACGTTTAATTTGATCTTTAATTTTTGTCACCAGCGTCTGTTGTTTTCAATGTGTGGATCTTGTACTCCTGTCAGATTTTATCACTAAGTATTTCATATTTGTTAATGCTATCGTAAATGCATTTTTAAAGATTTATTTATTTATTTGAAAGGCAGAGTTGCAGAGAGGCAGAGGCAGTGAGAGAGAGAGAGAGAAGAGAAAGACAGAGAGACAGAGAGGTCTTCCATCTGCTGGTTCACTCCCCAGATGACTGCAAAAGCCGGAGCTGCGCTGATCTGAAGCCAGGGGCCAGGAGTCTCTTCCTGGTCTCCCATGTGACTGCAGGGCCCAAGGACCCAGGGCATCCTCCACTGCCCTCCCAGGCCATAGCAGAGAGCTGGACAGTAAGCGGAGCAGCTGAGACAACCGGCACACATATGGGATGCCAGCACTGCAGGCGGTGGCTTTTACCCGCTACACCACAGCGCCGGCCCCCAGAACTGTGCTCGTTATAAAATTATCCTGCCTTGGGCATTTGGTTACAGTAACAGAGGAGAGGCTCATACAGGTAACTAAAACCTGTGTGGCACTTACAGCACCATACTGAGACACTCTATGCTGATGGCACTGTGAGTGTGAACTCACACTCACACACAACACGTACAATGCTTAACCCTCAGGGACACTGTAAACAAAAGTTAAGATAAATAATCCTAAGTTCACTTGCAAAACATCAGCGTACAGTAAAGTTGGTTTAAAGATGGAAAATTGTTTAAACACACACACTCACATACACATAATCACTTGTATACTCACATACACACACTCATACACACTCATATACGCACACACATACACACATGCACAAACACTCATATACACAAACACACATACACACTCATATGTACATGCTCATACACACTCACATATACACGCATACACTCACACACACACTCATATACACACTCAATACACAAACACACACATACACACATGTACACACATACACACATGCACACACAAACACTCATATACACAAACACACATACACACTCACATGTACACGCTTATACACACTCACATATACACGCATACACTCACACACACAAACACTCATATACACACTCAATACACAAACACACACATATACACATGTACACACTCATACACACATGCACACACACTCATATACACAAACACACATACACACTCATATGTACATGCTCATACACACTCACATATACACGCATACACTCACACACACAAACACTCATATACACACTCAATACACAAACACACACATACACACATGTACACACTCATACACACATACACACACTCATATACACAAACACACATACACACTCACATGTACACGCTTATACACACTCACATATACACGCATACACTCACACACACAAACACTCATATACACACTCAATACACAAACACACACATACACACATGTACACACTCATACACACATACACACACTCATATACACAAACACACATACACACTCACATGTACACGCTTATACACACTCACATATACACGCATACACTCACACACACAAACACTCATATACACACTCAATACACAAACACACATGTACACACTCATACACACATGCACACACACTCATATACACAAACACACATACACACATGTACACGCTCATACACACTCACATATACACACATACACTCACACACACAAACACTCATATACACACTCAATACACAAACACACACATACACACATGTACACACATACACACATGCACACACAAACACTCATATACACAAACACACATACTCACATGTACACGCTCATACACACTCACATATACACTCACACACACAATACACAAACACACACATGCACACATGTACACACTCATACACACATGCACACACACTCACACAAACACTCACACTCAGCAACTAGGGATTTCTGCAGACTGCCTTGCACCTGACACGAAAGTCCACAATTCCAAGTGCAAGAGAAGGAAGCACATATGGGATAACGCAACATCCCGGGCTTCTCCTAGGCTGGGTCAGTGCTTCGCAGATAATTACTCATTGCAAACACGCCCGTGAGCTACCCTACTAGGTCCTTTTATCAGTCATCTGTGTTTTAAAATGAAAGTGTTCCATTACTTCTTTGCTTTCACTTCTGGTCTCAAGCTTTGTTCATATTTGTCAGCCATTCTGGAATTGTTTAAATTAGTGCAGGTTTTTATGGAGTGTCAAATACACTCTGGGGAGAGGCTGGCCTCGTAGTTACCCAAAGTGTTCGGCCAGATCCTGGACATTTTTGAGAGAGGGAAACACCCCCGTTAATAAAAGGTTTTCGTTATTAAGAGCTTATCTGAGATTCCTCCTCTCGCCCCCTGATTTCCCCTCTCTGAGCTGCTCGGCCTGGGGGGAGGGGGATGCTTCTCCCGCTTTGGGACAGCGACAGTTTTCTTCCCGGATGGGAGCTTCTTGGAGAATTAGAGACATTCACTCAAAGCTCCAGGCGGAATGACTGGAATGACCCCCCGGAGCAGGTGGGGCACAGTCAGCTGATATTTCAAATGTGGCAGAGACATGTTGATCACTCCCTGTCTCCAGCGAACAATTCAGAAAGCTCATATTATCCCCCAGGCCACGGGGCAGGAGCTCTGAGCACACACGTGCGTATTAGGCGTACCTACCCCCGGAAGAAGGCTGGGGTATCCGATTGTCCTCCACTTAGATAAGTGGTCTCCATTGCAGGTGCAAGGCACGAGGGCAGGAAGTGCGCCCCTGGCTCGCCTTGGGGGAACTGCAACAGCATCAAGGTCAAGCCGTGCAACCTCCTCCACACGTCTGTCTGTGCGATGGCTCAGCCTGAGTCTCAGGATGAGCACAACGCGGGCGCAATCTCGCTCCTTCGGTCAGAAAATTGTCATCGCCAGCACCACAGCTTCAGCCCCTTCGATTTCCGTGCCTCGGACAGCAGCTCTGCCAGGTGCCTGCGGCCCGGTGTAGGGACCCTCCCCCAGCGGGAGGGGGCATCCACCTTCCCGTCCTCTGGAAAGGGGATTCGGAGATTCCTCCCAGTTCCTAGCGACACCCAGCGGGAGCTGGGCCCAGGGCCCCCGCAGCAGCCAGGCCAACAGCAGCCTCTGCTGACTTGCGCTCCAGGTCCCCTGCTTCCTCGGGCTGCTTTTCCCAGAGAGCACTTGTAGTCAGGCTGGGCTTGCAAAAGAAGTCCCACCCAGAACCACCGAAAAGTTTGGGGGTTGGGGTTTTGCCCCTAACCGGGGGGGGACCAAGGGGGCTACCTCTCTTTTATGGTTTTTTTTTCCCCACCCCCCCCCCCCCGACACAGGGGCAGTTCCCAGGTGCACCAGCAGGGAGGCGGGCTGGAAGCGGAACAGCCAGGAATTGAGTCAGTGCTGGTGATGCTGGCGTCGGGTGCAGTGGCTTAGCCTGCTGAGCCACCGTGCTAGCCCCTGGAGTGTCTCTGAGCCGAGCGTTCAGCGCCTGGGGCAGTGAGGCCTGCTAACGCCTGCAGGGGAGAGGCTGGCCAGGCACCTCCGCCACACGAGGCCCCTGCAGGATGCTGGGAGGGGACGGGGTGGGGGTGTGTGTATGTGAGTGTGTGAGAGTGTGTATGAGTGAGTGTGTGTGAGTGTGAGTGTATGTGAGAGTGTGTGTATGTGAGAGTGTGTGAGTGTGTGCATATGAGTATGTGTGTGAGTGTGTATGTGAGTGTGTGAGAGAGTGTGTGCATATGAGTATGTGTGTGAATGTGTGTGTGAGTGAGTGTGTATGTGAGTGTGTGAGAGTGAGTATATGAGTGTGTGTGAGTGTGTGAGTGTGTGCATATGAGTATGTGTGTGAGTGTGTGAGAGTGAGTGTATGTGAGAGTGTGTAGGAGTGTGTGAGTGTGAGTGTGAGTGTGTGTGTGTGTGTGTAAGTCCACCTGCAGGAAGGAGTTCAAAGACCAGAAGCCATCAGCCTGCTAGTCGGACCTTGGGAAACCCAGCTGGGAGCCAGGGGCAGGGAGCGCTCCAATCCCCCAGGAGAGGCGATCAAAAGTGCTGGACCCTGGCGAATGGCGTTTTCTGCCTTTCTTGACGAACTTGTCAGGCGCTTGTCCTGCCTGTGACCTTGTCGAGTTCCCTGCATTTTTTAAAAAGGATTTCCCTGAAATAAACAAGGTTATAGGTTTATTTTTAGGAGAGGTGTTAAGGAAGAGGCCTCGGGAAAGAAAAGACATTTAAAAGGCCAAAACAGAAGCAACTTGTTAGGACTCGAGGGGAGAGAGGGAATCGTAGTGGTGTCCTGGTCCCGTGTGCACGCGTGCTGGTGTGCGGGAGGTATGCACACATGGTGTACATGTGCTGAGTGGTGTGTGTGGATTGTATGCGTCTAGGAGTGTTGTGTGTGATGGGTGTGTGTGTGTGACTAGCATGTGTAGTGTGCATGTGCGGCATGTATGTAGTTGAGCAGTGTACACAGTCTGTGATGTGTGTGTGTGTGTGAGTGCTGTGTGGCATTTCTTTTTGATACTGTAAATATTTCAATAAATCTCTTAAGAGAGGACTTCTTAAAAATTATTTTGTTTTATTTGAAAGGGAGCAGTAGACAAATGGAGAGAGAGAGATCTTCCATCTGCTGGGTCACGCCTCAGATGCCTGCAACAGCCAGTCTGGATCAGGCCGGATTCGGGAGCCTGGAACTCGGTGCCTGTCTCCCAGGTGCGTGACAGCAGCTCGATCCCTGAGCCGACACCGCTGCCTCCCAGGATCTGTGTTAATAGGAAGCCGGGTCGAAGCCAGGACTTGCACCCGTCACTCTGGTGTGGATGCAGGTAACTCACGTGTGCTTAACCACTGTGCCAAATGCTGGTTTTGAATGGTGTATGTTGGGGGTGTGAACGGTATGAGTGGTGTGTGTGTTGGTGGGGGGAAGAATGTTGTGTGGTATGGGGTTACATGGTATGTGTGTGTGGTATCTATGTGTGTTGCGTGATGTATGTGGTGTTTGAGTGGGGTGTATAATGTGTCTGTGCACATGCAGCGTGTGTGATATGCACAGTGTGTGCGTGTGAATGGTGTGTGGTTATGCAGTAGGTATGTGTGTGTGAATCCCGTGGCATGTGTGTTATGTCTGTGAACGGTGTGTGATGTGTACAGTGTGTGCGTGTGGATGTGTGTAGTTGTGTGGTGTGTGTGCGAATCCCGTGGGATGTGTGTGTATGTCTGTGAATAGTGTGTGATGTGTTACGTACAGTGTGCGTGTGAATGGCCTGGTGTGTGTGGATGGTGTGGTATGTGGGTGTGTGTGTGAATCATATGGGATGTGAGTAGATTGTGTGGGATGTGTGAGTTATGCACAGTGTGTGTGTGAATGGTAAGGTGTGTATAGTGTGTGCGTGTGAAGTGTTATGTACAGTGTGTGTTTGAACGGTGTGGTGTGTGTGTGTGTATGAATGGTGTGTGATATATTATAACAGTGTGTGTGTGTGTGTATGAATGGTGTGTGATGTATTACAAACAGTGTGTGTGTGTGTGTATGAATGGTGTGTGATGTATTATAACAGTGTGTGTGTGTGCATGAATGGTGTGTGATGTATTATAAACAGTGTGTGTGTGTGTGTGCTGTGTGATTATGTGTGTGTTGAGGAAGGTAGGCAAGAGGCATCGGTGCGGTGCCCACGCGGGATGCTGGTGCCGCAGGCAGAGGCTCAGCCCACCACGGCGCAGCGCTGACCCCGTACCTGCTCTTGTTTGGCGAGTGCAGGGGTCCCACGTCGCGTTTCCAGGAGGAACTGGGGTGTAGACAGAGGCAGTCCCTCTTTTCAGTCCTCAGGCACCACCCTCGGGCAGGTGACTAAGCGCCCTGGGAAGCCGTGCGTATCTTCCACCCACAGCGGTGGTCCGGCCTGTTAGTCCTGGGCACCTGTGCTACACATCAGTTCCAGTGCAATCAGGGGCAGCGACGCGAAGGCCCGGTGGGGAGCCGCTGTGCTCCCGTCTGCCCCCCTCACAGGCAGCGCCGCAGGGGAGTGAGGGTGGCCGCTCCAGGCAGGCTATATTTAGGTGGTTTCCTCTCCCAGCTCATTCCCAGACCTGGGGAGGGCTACGGTGGCTTCCCACTGGTCATTTGCGTCCATCAGGGTCTTGTTTCCTTATAATCTGGGGCTCTTCCCGGTTCCCAGGCTCCGCTGTGTGGCCACACTTGGGCGCGCAGCCCCTCCCGGTCGGGATGGCCCCCGGGGCCTGGGCAGCCTGGCCCGGGAGGCCGATGAGGGCTGGTGTCGCAGCCGTGCGGTCCAGCCCGGCTGCGAGTCCCCAGCATGCCACCCAGGCGCTGGCTCCCACAGCCCCCGAGGTTCCCCAAAGTCTGGGGTGCTCTCTCTTCCAGCTCCCAATCTCCTGCCTGGTGGTGAGGACTGGGGTGGGGGTGGCTGGGGAGACAGACAGACAGGAGCAATGGAGAGTCCCTGGGGAGGCTGGGTCACATCCTGGGCCTGCACTGGGTAGCTGCTGACTCACTCCCCCAACCAAGAGACTCACTCTGCTACACAGCCCTGGCCAGAGGGTGTCATTGTCACGTAAGTCAAGACAGCTCACACCCCTCCGGATGGCAAAACAGAAAATCGCGAATGTTGGGGAGGATGTGGGGAGCAGATGCCGGGAAGGTCAAGGGCCCCCCGGTGGGGGACGGCGCAGCGTTTCCTTGGAGGAACTGGGCACGGAATCACCAGGTCCAGCAGGCCACGTGGGCTATAGCCCTCCAAAACCGGAAGCAGGAACTCAAATAGACGTTCTCCCACCTATGTTCATAGGAGCTCCAATCACAACGGCTGGGAGGAAGAGGGCCCCTAGTGCCCATCAGCTGGGGAACAGGTAAACAGAACGTGGCCCACTGATTCAGCCTTGCACAGGAAGGAGGGTCTGACCCACGCTGCAACACGAGTGAGACCCAGGGACACGGTGCTCAGAGCGATAAGCCTCAAAGGGACAGACACCATCTGATTTGTTTCTTAAGAGGCACCTGGAGGAGTCATGTTCACGGACGGGGGCGGCCAGGGGCCATGGAGGGGGGCGTGAGGAGTTCTGAGTTCCCCGAGTGCCAGTTCTCCGAGGCGGTGGCGGTGCCGCACGGGGTGTGAACGGACTCCCAGGCACGGGCCCAAAGGCTTGTACACAGGCAGCGTGGCCCAGGGGTGCTGGGTGCATTTATTTCAGCAGCAAAGAGAAGGCACTTGAAGACCAGTGACTAGGAGCCCACCAGGCGGAAGAGACCACCTCCGTCTGCACATGGGTGGGTCCTGCTCTTGGGAACTCACACTTCGCCAGGCCGCGGGGGTGTGCAGTGCCGGGGGCCAGCCTTTCTCTCCACGTGGCGGGGTCCTCTGGCCCGCGGTCACCCGTTTCTACAACGGGACGAGCACCCCACTGCTACAGTGCGCTCGGTGGGACTTTGCACATTCCTTGTTCTGCGTGTTGCGACTTGGCTTTTCTGAACTGTGCTACTTAAAAAAAGATTTTTTTTTGAGAGACGAAGACAAAGAGAGAATTCTCATTTGCTGGTTCCCTGCCCACATCGGCTGAGTGCCAAAAGTCGGAGCTGGGAACTCATTCCAGGGCTCCCGTGTGGGTGGCAGGAAGTGGCTGAGCCGTCACCGTGGCCTCCCAGGGCACCCACTGGCAGGAAGCTGGACTTGGGACCCAGAGGTGGGACTTGAGCCCAGGCACTTAGGGACGTGGACATCTTAACTGGTACCTCAGCCACGGGGCCAAAAGCCCAGAACTGAGCTGTTTATAACCTCATTAGGAAACACCCCTGTCTGGGCCATCATGGTGCGCAGTGGGTTAAGCCAACAGAGGCGATGCTGGCATCCTATATAAAAGTGCTGGTTCGAGTCCCTGCTAGTCCACGTCTGATCCAGCTCCCTGCTAATGTGTCTGGGAAAGCAGCAGAAGTGGTCCAAGTACCTGGGAGAGCAGCATGGAGCCCCTGGCCCTGGTGTTGGACTGATCTAGCGACGGTCATTCGGACAGTGAGCCAGTGGGTGGAAGATTATCTTTCTCCCTTCTCTCCGTAGCTTTGCCTTCTACATAACAAGTCAATCAATGAACATTTAATTTAAAAACAACACTTTCTTCAGACAGACGCTTGTATTTATCAGGCACTTAAGCTTTACGAAGCAAAACGCACCACAAAGTCACATGCCGGCTTCCTCGAAGTCTCTATCCGGCTCTTTGGGGGTAGATCTGCTCTCCAAGGCTCTGGACACCTCTAGAGCATTTTACTAAAGGACACGATTACAAATCTCTATTTACTGAAGGTAATTTTCATGAACCAGTTTCCTTGAAAGAAGCTCAAAGTAGCTTTATTAAAAAAAAAAAAAAACGCACTATTCCTCCTTCCCACGGGCGAGCGTGTGGGAGTGGGGAACACCAGGATTCTTCCATTCACGAAGAACTAGCAAGAGCAAAGGTTTTAAGACGATACGCTCGGGAGTGGAAAATACCAGAAGGAATTCGCCTCCCCGGGCCTCGCGCTCCAGCCGCTTCCACGGTGCCTGTGACTTTCTCTCAGCTCAGCGAGGCTCCTGGACTTAAGTGAGTGCTTGACGTTTTCAGGAATGTCCTGGGGAACGCAGACTTCCTCCAGGACGGATCGTAGGCTCGGCGCCCGCTGCCAGGCCCTCACCCAGTCTGTGGACGAGCTTCTGGCTCCCACAGAACCTAAATTCTGAATTTATGTATCAAAAGTAAGCAGTCGGAATAATCAAACATAAACACGCTTGCTCACGGAATATGTCATCTTAACTTAAGGCAATCGAAGCACAGATCCCCTTCTTTTTGGGGAATTTCACAAGTATTTCATCAGCCACTGCCCATGGTGATGATTTAAATATTTTCTGTGTGAATAGCAACATTGTAAAATATTCTAAAAGGTCCAGGTTTCTTTTGCAAGCTCTGAGCTATCTGGAAATTCAGCTTGCTATTTAGGGGCCAAAAAAAATTCATACTTTAAAGATACGATCTAGATTTTTCTGCTATGCTTTTTTCCTGGGGTTGGTGCTTCCTGGGGAATTCTGCCTGGTGCCCTGTTCTGGTTTCTATGGGATCAGTGGTGTAGAAACGGACCCTTGCAGCCACCCCATGGAGTCCTGCAGCCTGGGTCCAACTCGAGTCGGCCACCAGAGGGCACTGTTGTCCTTTGCTAGCGGCAGCCAGGCGTTCCCCACCCTGCTGCCGCCAGCTTCGAGCCCACTGCATTATTATTTTTTGATTTATAAAGCGCCATGCCTCAGCAGCCTCCCCACCCCCCCGCCGCTCCAGAGACAGCTCCCAGGAGCACGCAGAGAGAAGAGAGCGAAGTCCAGGGAGCACTAGGTGGGCTGGTGAAAAGCACACAGGTGGAGGGCGGGCGGGGAGGCACCAGAGCGGCAGCCCGGGTGCCTGCGGCCAGAGGGCACAGGGCCTTGTCCAGCGGGGCTCGTGCATGAACGTGTTCCCATAGAGACAGAGAAAGACCGTCCCTGGACACTAGCAATCAAGATATTCCCTTCCAGCTCAGACCTTCCCGGCCAGAACCAGCCCTTGTTGCTGTCCGTCCAGCGCTGTGGCTGGCTCCGCCTGCGGGCACAGGACACGCTCCCCACAGCGTAGGCAACCGATGCAAAGGAACCCACTGATCCCCCTCTGGGGAGGCCGGGGAGGGGGCTGAGTCCCGACAGCAGCCAGGGGTCAGCAGCAGAACCCTTGGCAGGAAGGCGGCTGCGGGGGCCTTGGAAAGGGACAAGTCACTAATGGCGCCAATCAGAGTCGAGCAGGTTGATGGGATAATCATGAAAATAAAACGCCGGAGCAAAATGACACAGCTCTTGGCGTCAGACGGAAAACCCAACACATCGAGAGCTGGCAGGTTCCTGCGACACAAGCAGGACAGGCAGGGCCACCCTGGAGCCGCTGGGCCCACCGGCCACTGCCTGTCCACGAGCTGAACTTGGTCCCAAGGCCTCCTGGCTCCACAAAACACTGCCCTCTGGCCCCTTTTATTCTAAGCGTTTCTCCCAGCGCCCCAGCGAGGTAGGTGTTCCTACATCGTTTGACACATGCAGGACCGGAGGACAGATGTGCTGGTGTCGTGGCCAAGTGAAATAAAGGCTGTCAGACCCCAGGTTCTCCTCCCCAGCCTGGCCTGGGGAAGCCCTAGCCCAGGAGGCCTGGGGCGGCTTCTCAGAGCTCAGGACCCCGAGCCTGTTGAGTAAGCCTTGCCACGGTCAGACCCCGGGTCAGCCAGGGGCCAAACCCCGGGCACAAGCAACACTTCCCTCCTGGAGGTGGCTGCAGCCCAGCATGGCCCCAGGGCGCCTTATTGTTTTATTCTTTATTTACTTAAACAGGCCAGCATTTTGCTGTTTTGCTTGAGATTAAAACCTCCCTCTCTCCCTCCCTCCCTCTCTCCCTCTCTCTCTCTGTCTCTCCTTCTCTCTCTCTCTCTCTCCCTCCCTCTCTCTTCTCTCTCTCCCTCCCTCCCTCTCTCCCTGTCTCTTCCTTCTCTCTCTCTCTCTCCCTCCCTCCCTCTCTCTCTCTCCCTGTCCCTCTCCTTCCCTCTCTCCTTCCCTCCCTCCCTCCCCCTCTCTCCCTCCCTCTCTCTCTCCCTGTCTCTCCTTCTCTCCCTCTCTCTGGGAGAAGTCCCCCAAGAACACTCGATGTCCCAGCGATGGCAGAGCTCAGAAGCCGAGAGCAAGGACAGAAGCTCCAGGCCTGGAGAGGAGGAGGTGGCGGCTCGGCGGGTCCTGGGGGGATTTGCTCGTGACCCTGACGTGTGCACCGCCCCGTGGGAAGCCTGGCTGAGGGGTGCCCGAGCCCTGTCTCCAGCTAGCCCGGGAAAAGACGGACAGCAAAGAGCGGCAGATGCAGAGAGGCGGGGAAACGGAGCAGGCGCAGCCCGCAGGCCGGCCGTGGCGCGTCCCGTGGGCGCTGGGCCGCCGTTTCCCGGTGGGCCCGGGTTTCGGTTGTGTCATCCGCCAACAATGGGGCGCTGGCGGGGGCGCCGTGGCCTATTTCTGTCTCCTGCATTCATGGCCTCCGTCCCAGGGACGATGGAGCCCGGGCTGAGTCACGGCCACCGCCTGGGGCCTCGGTGGGCGGGGTCTGCGCAGGTGCACGTGGCTTCTCCAACGGCTGAGTGCCCAAACCTTGATGGGCGGGTCCCGACATCACCCTCCGGCGCCAGCAGGCGCCCGGGCTCCACTGCTGCCAGCGCCGCCCGCCCGTGTCTCGGAGACGTTGGAGGGTGGGGAGACCTGTTCTTTGCCTCCAGCTTTCCCGGGTGCTTGGTGATGTTGCCTCCTAGAAAGTCAACACCTGCCCTGGAAAATGCCTCTGACGAGTTGTTTTTTCATTATTATTTTTGAACATCTTCCACGTGTCCTGAGCCCTGGTGGAGACGTGTGGGGCACATCCCAGCTCCCCACTGAAAGCGCCTGCTCATTCTAGCAGGTGGGTACGATTCCTCCCATTCTGCAGGTGCAGAGACAGGCCGTCAGGTCACGTGGCTGCTCCAGGCCACAACTGCTGCTGGCGGAGCCTGGATTGGAACTTAGAGCTCTGACTCAGAACCTTGGGCACTTCCTTCCTTGCATTTTTCTTTCCTTTAGTGCATGTGTCTTGCGTCTGTGAAAGCCAGCGTGAAAAGTCTCCCCCGAGGCCATCACCCAGAGCCAGCCAGGAGCACTGCGATGCAACCCTCCAGGACATCGCCTGCAGGGACTTCGAGCCGAGCTTCTGCTGCCCAGGTTGTGGCTATCTGAGATCAGCCAGGGCACACTGCTTGGAGTGGATGCAGGTGGTGGCTTGGTATTTGGGCTCACCAGGGACTGCCGAACTGGGAGACGCCCAGGACTTCGGCCTCGCCCCTCTCTCACCCTTCACTGTGGTCAGTTCGTCCTTGGTCCTCAGGAAGGACCTTATCAGCTCTGCCAATCATGACCTCTGAACTTGGATGTGCCCATAAAGGGGGTATGACACCTCCTGCCTCCAGGGGGCAGGCTTCCACGCAGGGTTGCACTTGCAGGCACTGAGTGTGCTGGCACGGCCCCGCCCCTTCTTTTGGAAGCTTGTGTAAATAGACAAGTGTGCGCTGAGCTGACCGCCATGTCCAGCGCCTGGACCCCACTCGCCCCCAGCACAGCCCGGCAGTGTGGCATTGAGCCCAGAGTGTCTGGACGACAATGTGCTGAGTCCGAGGAGAGAGGCGAAGCACCTGGCCAGGGCAGGATGTCTGAATTCCTGGTGGAGGAGACGCCCGTGGGCGCCATGCCTGTGTGCGGATGGGCGGAAGGGAGACCTCATGACGAACGGGGGTTTGATGGTAGGCTCTGTAAACGCAGAGGGCGTAACTGGGCAGGCGCTCAGGGGGCCTGTGTCAAGGAAGAGCAAGTCACAGGGCAGACAGACCAACCCCAAGGGCCCTGGGCACCGCTCCAGGCTACGCGCCTGCAGGGATCCGGGCTGCTGCCCCGGCGTCTGTAGCCACGCCGTCTGCCGTCCACGGCTTCCCAGGTGACCAGAGCAAGCAGAGGGGTCCAAGGCCAGGTGCAAGCTTGGGGGCTTGGGGTGTTGAAGCCCCAGGCCATGTCCCACCCCAAGAAGGACCAGAATGAGCTAGGCACTGCTGTGCAAATCAGACTCGACACCATACTTTTTTTTTTTTTTTTAAAAGAGTCATTTTGTGTATTTGAAAGGCAGAGTTCCAGAGAGGGAGAGACAGAGGGAGAGAGAGAAAATCTTCTATCCATTGGTTCAATTTCCAAATGGCCACAACAGCCAGAGCTGGGCTGGTCTCAAGCCAAGAGCCAGGAGCTTCTTCCAGGTCTCCCGCTTGGGTGCAGGGGTCCAAGCACTTGGGCCACCTCCTGCTTTTCCAGGCCATAGCAGGGAGCTGGATCTGAAGAAGAGCAGCCAGGACTTGAACTGCTGTCCGTATGGGATGCCAGTGCCGCAGGTGGCAGTGTAACCAGCTATGCCGCAGCGCCAGCCCCCCAGTGCCGCACTTTAAATGTCTACATTCTCTCTCAAATCCCAACAGAGCTCTGGGTAAGATCTCCCGAGTTCTGGCAGCAGAACTGAAGGCTGCCATGGCAAGGACTTGCCCCAGGGTGCAGGGCCCGCCTGAATCCAGGATGACCCATTGGCAGGCAGCACGCTCACGCGGTGCGTACGGGTGGATGGACGTTTGCAGGGGTGAGCCCGACTCAGCCCACCACCGCCACGGGCCAGGAAGAACGAGTGTTCAGTGTCGTCACACAGACACACCCCAGCTGGTTCCCGTCGGAGCAACGCTGCAGCTGGCTGGGGCCCCTTCTCTGTCTCATCTCCCCGTTAGGAGGAGGAGGGCGTTGGCTCTGACTAATGTGAGCGACTCCGCGGCCCAAGTGTCACACTTACGTTACTGAAGCCCGGGCATGTCTCGGATTTTTAGACTGTACGTAATCGGGGGCAGGCACTTGGCCAGGCTGTTGAGCCAGCACTTGGAATGTCCACATGCCATATAAGATTGCCGGGGTTCGAGTCTGAGCTGTGTGCTCCATTGCCATTTTCTGCTAATGTGGCCCTGGGAGGCAGCAGGTGATGGATCAAGGACTTAGTTCCCTACCACGCACGTGGGAGACCTGGATTTTGTGCCCAGCTCTGGTTCCAGCCCAGCCCAGCCCAGCCCAGCCGATGTGGGCTTCTGGGGAGTGAGCTAGTGGAGAGGAGTGCTGTCAGTCTCCCTGTCTCTCAAATAAATACAATTTTAAGAAATTTATTTGATTGGCATCCTGTTGAATATATTGCTCAGGACTACTTTGTATATTCAACATTTTACTTTCTTTTTTTTTTTTCAAAAAAAAGATTTATTTATTTATTTATTTATTTGAAAGGCAGCGTTACAGAGATGCAGAGACAGAGGGAGAGGTCTTTCATCAGCTGGTTCACTCCCCGGATGGCTGCATTGGCTGGAGCTGAGCCGATCCTAAGCCAGGAGCCAGGAGTCAGGAGCCAGGAGCTCCTTCCGGGTCTCCCACGTGGGTGCAGGGGTCCAGGGACTTGGCCATCTTCTACTGCTTTCCCAGGCCATAGCAGGGAGCTGGATGGGAAGTGGAGCAGCTGGGACTCGAACCACTGCCCATATGGGATGCTGGCGCCGCAGGCTGGGCCTTTACCCACTACACCACAGTGCCAGCCCCCAACATTTTACTTTCAAGAGCTGTTCAATGGAAAAGCACAAGTACTTTAATCATTTCAATGGATATTTTGGATTCCAAATAGGAATATTGCATTTTATTTATGGACTTTGTTAGTATAGAAAATTTAAATTGTCTTCATATTTGTTTTCTTAAAAACTGTAACAGGATTCTGTAGAGAGAGAGAGAGAGAGCGCGCGCGCTTGAGGACTAGGTTCACAGAGGACTGTGGGAGCCAGCAAGTCCAGAGTTTGCAGGGTGGGCCAGCAGACTGGATCCCCCAAAATAGCTTGAGCCTGAAGCCATCTGTTAGCCGGACCCCTCTGCCTCAGGGACCGCAGCCGCCCCCCCAGGATCCCCTCCCCCCAGCACCCCTCCCCTCCCCTCCCCTCCAGCACCCCCTCCACCTCCGCGCCCTCCCTTCCCCTCCCCTCCCAGCACCCCCTCCCAGCACCCCTCCACCTCCGCGCCCTCCCCTCCCCTACCCCCAGCATCATCTCCACCTCCGTGCCCTCCCCTCCCCTCCAGCACCCCCTCCGCCTCGGGGCTTCACCTGTGCACCAGGTAGCTGAGGCCCACCTCCTCCCGGAGTTTCAGTTTCGGCGAAGGCAGTGCGCACAGACGCTACCCCCATCCCTGCGCAGTATCTGGAAGAGTGATGGCTCCCTGGGGACCGGCCGGCCACCCCCAGCCTTCGGCCATCACGACTTGTCCAGGCCTCCTCCGCGGGAGTGATGTCACACCCGAGGTCACGGCGTGGGGGTCACGGCGGGAGCGCAGTGGGCCTGGCGGCCTTTGCGTTTGTCAGACTGTAGACGTGGAGCGTGGGGGAGACCCTCGAACCGCGCTGGAGAGGGGGCCGACGGGCGGTGCTGCGGGCCCTGCCGGGCAGGGAGGGCCCGGAGGGCCCGGGCTGGAGGGGGTCGCGGGTTCTGCCCTCATGCAGAGTCGGGGAGCGGGCGCTCCCCCAGTTCCCAGGCCAGCTGGACCCCGCGGCTTAGGGTCACTTCCCCGTCCCTCTCCGTGCCCTGTCCGCCCGGTCCAGGCTCGCTCCACCGCAGCTGTCAAATCCTGCCGGGCCGGCGGGGCGCTGTCCTGTGGGTCCCGACGCCACCCACTTGATGGGTGTCCCGGCACCCTCTCCCCTAGGCTGACAGTTAAATGTCTCCGGGCTCTGTCGGGGGCCTTTGGGGTGCCAGGTCGCCCCCACTGAGAACCACTGAGGTAATTAAAACACCAAAAATGCCAGTAGGTGCACCTGTCCGTCAGCGAAGAGTGAAAGGGGAGGTGTTGGGGGTCCCAGAGAGCCACCTGCCCCTGGCCCTCCCCGCGCCGCTCACTTTCTGGTTGCTCCAAGTAGGGTTGTTTTTTC